GGGCTTATGGAGAGTGTCACTTGTCTTTTTTCTTTTTAATGAAGTTAGGACTGTGTTTGTTGTGTACATTAATTCCCATGCAGTGTCTTGCACTCAATCTGGTGTGCCTTCCCGTATCATTAAGTCGGTGTTTCTCCAGGGCAGGGTTAGCTTATGGTGAACACTGGTGTGTCATCTGGGTTTATTATGTTTGATTAGTTGGTTGTTGGACATTTAGGTGATTTCCAGGTTTTCTCTATCATAAATGTTGGCATGATAAATGTGCGTATACAGAAATCTTAGTGCATAGTTATTTTCTTGGGATAAACTCTTGCAGGTGGAGCTTTTCAGGGCTTTCGATAACCTGTTGCCAAGTTGCTCTCCAGACGGGGATCCGGTCCCCCCGCTTTCCATCAGCCGTGTCCGGGAATGCCTGTTCCCTCTGCCTTCGTCAGCAGGGGCTCATGACGTTACAACTTTCTGCCAGCTTGAGAGAAGAAAAACTGTCTTGTTTAAAAAAGGACCTTCATTATTTTAATTGTACTGCCTCATTAACGAGGGTGCGCTTTTAAATATTTCCTCCACCAGCTGTATTCCTTCAGCTCTAAATTGCCTGTCCCCCACGCATCTCGGTCTTCAAACTATAGACACCCTGGCTTCCTAGCTGTCCCCAGGGATGTTTCACAGGGACGACCTGCACCGGGGCCCCCGAGGAGCCCCAGGGCCGGCAGGCCGAGTGGCTGGTCCTGGAGCTGCCCCGTAACTCCTGGTTGTCCCTCTTCCCCAGGAGCAGGAGCAGCTCTACCGCAGGGCAGGTGTGGTGTCCTCTGCCACCTTTGAGCAGCCGAGCCGGCAGGTGAAGCTGTGGGTGAAGATGGTGACTCCGCTGATCAAGAACTTCTTCTGAGGATGGCAGGTACTGACCCGCAGTCACTCGGGGCCTCGGGCGGTCCTCTCCAGCTGGGGTCCCCTCCAGCTGGGGTCCCGGGGCCTCTGGCAGGGGCTCAGGAGCTCTCTGCTCTTTCCTTGATTACCTGCCCAGGGGTGTGTCATGGGTCATGGGTGGTTATCGAAGGCTTGGAAACCTGGTGCTAACAAGGCGGCCCTTTCGCCCTCCATCGCGTCCCAGGGCCGTGGTGGGGTCAGCATGGTGGGGTGTGCCTGTTCTTGCTGTCCGTGGGGGCTGGAGGCAGCCTTGGGGCCAGGGCCTCATGGCTGCTGGACACCGGGGTAGATTCTGTGCCTGCTGCCTGTCGCTGAGCACGGGGTTCTTAAGGCAGCGGGGGCGGAGGGGCAGTGCTCGTGGGGACATCCGGGCTTGCTGCCTGGGCCGTGCAGGATGGATGGAGCCTCAGTCAGGCCTCGGGGCTGTGACCCCTCTCCCTGATGCTCCTGGGGTGCGCTGGCAGACTCGCGGTGCTCTTGGTGACTGGCGGCAGGACTCACCAGTCCACCCAGGAGCCTGCCGAGAGCACCTGAGGACCCGGGCCACCAGCTGTGTCCCATGGGGACAAGAGGAAGCCTCGTATGGCCAGCCCTGTGGCTGCCGTCAGCGGTGGGGTCTCTCCTGATTGACCCTCTGGGTTCGGATCCCTTCAGACCCTGACCTGGCCCCAGGTGGATCAGTCTCCGGGGTGGGATGTTCTCAGTAGGACTCCGCTCGCCCAGCCCAGGCAGAGGGGCTTGTGGGGGAAGGAGAGCGAGGAGGGAAGACAGGATGGAGGCTTGAGCGGCCGAGTGTGGTCCGAGTTGGCCCCGTGTGCGGCCTGGGACCACGGTTCTCTCCTCAGTCTCACTTTGAAAGGTTGTATTTTATCAGTTCATTTTTTTCTAATCATTTTAATTACTTTATGCTCTATTCGGATAACACGAAAATTCAGAGAGTAAAAAAGTACTAAAAGGCCGAGCTGCGTCTGCCTTTCCTTCCCCCCAGCCTGCCACTTCTCTTCTATCTGCTGCTGTTTCTCTACCCTGTGCTCCTCCCCTGCCCCCACGTCTCCGGGAGCAGATTTCAAAACCTCCCAGCCCACTCCGAACATCTTCAGGTGCTTGAACCTCATCCAGAGAGGAGGCCTCCCAGCCCCAGGGCTTGGCAGCTCACCCCTGGTGGGGGCGGGGCAGGAAGCTGGGGGTGGGGGGAGACAAATAGGGTTCCAGCCCTGCCTTGTCTCCCTCATGTGTCTCCCTGCCAAGGGCTGGCGGCTCCAGCGGTCACGTTCGCACGTGGGTCCTGGGAGGCTGGGGGCACCACGCCTGAGCCTGGAGTGGCCCCGGCCCCGCCCCGAGGCCCCGGCAGGTCTGCTGGTTCTCCGGGTGGGGAGTGGGTGGAGCTGCAGCCATGCTACCCCGGGGCAGCAGCATGCTAGTTAACACTGTCTGTCTTCAGACCAGAGATTAAATTGTCCTGTGGACATCAGAGGGAAGCCAAAGGAATGCTCCGGGCGCTGGGTTTCTGTTTGGAGGGAGGCTTTTGGTAAACAGCGTTCTCATTCCTGCAGATGCTGTGGGCCGGAGCGAGCCTGCGCCACGGCCGGGCTTGAGCAATAGGCGGCCTGCTCGCTTTGTGTCTGCCGCCTGCCTTCAGGACGGTCCTGGGGGATGGGGCTCCCCTCCCTCCCTGGAGCTCGCCCCAGCCTGGGCCCCTGCCCTTCTGCCCCCCCGGGACTGCTGCCGTGCCCACGGCACTTTCAGATGCAGCACAGCGCTCGTCCCAGTCTGTCTCCCCGAGACTGGATTGCAGCTCCAAGGTGAATCATCTCACAGTTAGGAGAGAATTTTGTCATCGACCCACCGCGTGTAGTGTGGAATGAATGACTGTTTTATTTCAGGCTCTGGAGGCAAAATTAGAAAACATCCCCATTCTGTGGTTATCACCAGGGATTAGGATGAGTTGTGTGGTGGCCACCGGCAGTTCTATGTTCTCCAGAGTGGTGGCTCTCCTGTCCCTCCAGCCTGGACACCAAGGGCTATAGTGACCCCTTCTGGCCAGCGGTGGCAGTTGCCTGGCATCCAGACTCTGGCCAGAACCCCTGCTTCCGAAGGGGTGTGGATCCTCCAGGTCCTAGGGTGGGAGGATTTGAGGGACATTTTTCCTTCTCCCTCTCAGCCCCACCAGACCCAGGATTGTTGTAAATCATTGGCCTCAGAGGTAGGCCTTCTAGGACTGCTTCTTCACCCATGGATTGAATGAGAATCCTTGGAAAAAAGTTTTTACAAAACTTCAGGATCAGGTTAAAGTTAGAAAACGAGGTCAGATATCCCTTGGTGGGGAGTGTGGGGTTGGCGGGGGACAGGTTCCTTTACTCTGCTTTTAAGTCAAGAGACACTGAGGGTCCAGCTCATGAGCCCCGCCCTCCGCCCCTCCAGGGGTCTGTTACCTGGAGCTTGTGGGTCCTGCTCCCTGCCTGCCTTGTCCCCTGCTCGTTGTCTGCACCCATCCCCTGGGTCAGCCTTAAGGGCAGCCCAGCTGCTTTTCTGAACTACGTGCATCAGCATGGCCATGCAGAGTCAGGCAGGTCTGGGACCTGCTGCTCTCGGTCCTGCTGAGGTCATTCTGGCTGCCGTTAGGGACACCGGCCCCCACCTGTCAGACGGGAGCCTTCCCAGAGCAGCTCCAGGAGCGAACCAGGGCCGCCACCTGCTCCCCTTGGAGCAGGAGCCCAGAGTGCAATGAGACGGGCCACCTCTCATCCCTTCCCTGCTGGCTCGTGGGCAGGCTGTGGGTGTCTGTGTGGGAAGGGCATGGGGTCACCTTTCCTGAACCTTGTCTCCTGTGCCAGAAACACTGGGGCTGGGGGCCCTGGCCTTCCTGGTGCCCACTGCCGTGCTCAGCCCGGGTCGCAGTGCCTGAGGGCACATGCACCTCAGGCTTTCTCGGCCGCTGAGCAGCCGGCCCTCTTCTGCTGACTTGGGGTCTGTTCTTCGTTTTCTGATTCCTAGATGGTGGGTGGGTTAGGTTGTGTGAAATTTTTCTATTTCTTGAGGTAGGCCTGTGTTGCTATGAACTCTTGGAAGTCTTAGAACTGGTTTTGCTACATCTCATCGATGTTGCAAAGTTGTGTTTTTATTTTCGTTGTCTCCAGGTATTTTCTGATCGCCTTCCTAGCACGTGATGCATTCTGGTGAACATTCCACATGTACTTAAAAAGAATGTACATTGTTTTTGGGTGGAATGTGCTCTAGTTATCTGGAAAGTCCAACTGGTCTGATGTGTCATTTGAGACCACTATTTCCTTATTGATACTCTGGGTGATCTGTCCATTGTTATAAACGGGTGTTAAAGTCCATTGCTATTAATTGTGTTATTGTCTGTTTCTTCCTTTGCATATGTTAATGTTTGCTTTATATGTTTAGGTACTTCTGTAATGAATGTTACATTATTATATGATGCCCTTGTTTGTCTATTATAGACTTTAAAGTCTGTTTTGGTGGTAACAAGTGGGAACTGGGGGGGAGAGGGGCAGGAGCTGAAAGTGAGGATGCTGCCCAGAACTGAGCATGTTTACTGTGACCTCCCAGGGCACATGCATGTGTTCAAAGTGGCCCCTCCAGTACCCAGCAATTTCAGAAAGCAGGCAGCTGACAGGGAAGCACTTGAGGTGCGTGGAAATGGCCCCCCTTTGGAACAGTTTGTTTTTCAGATTTCTGGGGCGGGGAGGAGGCATTACCACAACCGAGGGAGGTTTTCTTCAGAGAAGGAAGAATGCTTTAGGGAGCAGTGCCTGTGGAGGTAGCAGCTCCTGTTATACAGGAATGGAACGCCTCGGCCCCTTAGTGCTGGCTGTTCACATGTGGCATCAGGCCCCAGGGTGTGACTGCCTCCAGCTGTAACCCTGCAGGTCCCTGGTGGGGAAAGCTTAACCCAGCCGCCCCTCTAGGAAGTCAGGATTTGGGGGTTTGGTTCCTCGGATGTTCCTCCGGCTACTGGGAATCGGGGTCTAACCCACAGGCCTGTGCCGGGCCCCTGGTGGCCAGCAGGCGCCGAGCTGAAGGCCAGCTCAAGTGAATCAGACAAGCCTGGCTCAGTAGCCCATTGTTTTAATCCTGTCCACACCCCCTCTTCACGCTACCTTCCCCCCTCTGGTTAGTCCAGATGTGCGTGCTTATGAAGTGCCTCGATTATTTAGGAGAACAAAAAGCAGCCGTCAGTTCCTGTGAAAATAAATGACAGTTGCAAGGCTGGGTTCCCAACTGTGAATCTGGAGTTGTGATCAGGACCTGGCCCAGGGCAGCGTGGCCCTCTCTCCAGCTAGACCTGGAGGAGCAGTGCCACGGCCGCCAGGATCCACTTGGCTGCCTTCTCCTTGGTCTTCAAGTTGAAGGTCCAGACGTAGGTGGGGCCGCGGATGCGTGTTTTATACACGGGACACTCATAGATGTTCTTGGTCTCCATGCGGTCCACAGGGATGGCCTTGATGAAGATGACGGGCATGGCTGGCGTCAGCTCTTTCAGCCGCGCTTCGGCGATGACTCCGAGCTGGGTGTCCCAGCGAGCTCCTGCAGGGGTGGCACGCCCGAGGGTCAGGGTGGCCAGTGGTGAGGTGACTGGTGCCCGGCCTGGCTTGCACCCCGACCCCTGCCGAGATGGGCCAGGGCTGGACTGGCACCAGGATCGCCACACATAGGGCTGCGAGCAGAGGGCATGGCGGGGGCGTGTGTGTGTCGCTGAGAACGTTCGGGGCCGGCTCAGCCCTGAAGCCCTGGCGCTATTGTTTACATTCGTGGTGTTTTCAGAGCCTCGTGTGTCAGCCTTCTTGATTTCGGGGGCAGGAAACCATAACTCCAGCTCAAAGTGACCGATTAAAGCTCCCCTCTCCCCTCCCCTGCGGTGTCTGTCCCGTGTCCATGCGCAGTATAAACGTGTATGCGCACATAGAACTGTTGTTGCCTTGAACCAGACTTATTTCTACTCACCCTATTTAATGACGCTGAGATTTCCTGTAATTCCACAATAAACATGGAGAACGTCTGCTGCTGTGCTTATCTCTGGGGATGTGGGCACGGGGTGGGGGTGACATCTGTCACAGGGGAGGGGCTGGCACTCAACTTAGAGCGGGCCTGTCCGGCCTCACTTGGTGCAGGACGGGGTGACGGGGGGCACAGAGTGAGTGCTGGCCTTGAGCCCCCCGTGGCTGCTGCGATCTGGCCACGTGATGGCCTCACACGGGGCTCCGAGGAGGTGGCCGGCCAGGCCGCCATGCCCTTGGGTCTGGGGTGGGCGGGGGACCTGGACAGAAGCCTCCGCCCTCAGAAGGCACACTTGTGCCAGGCCACATGGCCCCCCGCCCCTACTGCCTCCCCGCCTGCGCCAGCTACCTTCCATGAAGAGCCCGTAAACGTAGGAGCCCTCCCGGGGGGGTGCGGTCATATCCTCCCGATTCTTCTTGGTCACCTCCACGGATAGACACATCTTGTCCAGCGGCCACTCGTTCTTCCTGGCCATGGACTGCATGATGGCCGTGAGGAAAGACTGGGGGTTGAAGAAGCCGGCCAGCCACACGGTGGTGGGCAGCGCGAAGTCCGTGGTCCAGGCCTCGAGCTCCTGGAGGAGACACAGGCGGGGCCGAGCTGGAGCCTCCCCACCTCCACAGAGCAGACGTGGGGCCTGGCCGCCTGCCCGGGCTGCCCTCTCACTGTCTGGGTGGGGGGTGCTCAACGTCAGAGGCTCGCTTCTGGAAGCCTGCTGGGAGGGCCTCTGCATCTCTGGCCATGGGAGCTGCTCCCAACCTCAAGCCCATCCTGGGGTTCCTTCGAGGGGAAGTGCCTGCACTCTGGGACCCATGTCCCCAAGGCGTGGGCAAGACCAGGCCAGCGGGGACCTCTGCACACGCCCGCTCCCCAGCCTCGCTCTTCAGGCCCTGGGGACAGGTTTGCTGAGCATGCAGTGGCTCTCCCGAAGCCTGTCCTTACCCTGATGCGGAGCAGCAGGTCAGCATACCAGGCCGCCAGGCCCATCATGGAGGGGTAGGCCCGGGCCACCCAGGAGTCAGGCACAGTGTCATAGAACAGGGCTGTGGACAGGTCCTCCATGTCGGTTGTGATGGTCAGTTCTCCCTGGGGGACACACACGGGGGTGCTGGGGCACTCAGTAGTGACCCAGACCCGGGCGTCACTGGCCCTGAGGTGCCCACTTCTCCATCCCAGGGACCTTGAGGGTGTGGCTCAGTGGCCTCAGGTTCGTTGGCCTGTGGCCGAGGGTGGTCAGCCTGTGGAGGCCAGCCCACGTCTAGGTCCCAGCCCAGGTCCTGCCGCCCCTGTAGTTCTGACCTTCAGCCCCAGGTTCAGCTCCTTCAGCGAGCGACGCATTTCGTTGGTCAGGATGTTCATCCTCTCACATTCCTGGAAGGCGACCACCACGTAGGGGGTCTTCTCGGCGGCCTTGGCCATGATCTCGGCCATGTTGAACGTCTCCGGGATCTTCTCCAGGATCTCGTCCAGCACGGCCTTCACCTGGAAGCCAGTCCCCAGCCGGCCCATGTCACTGGGCCCCAGCCCTGCCCTAGTGCCAAGGCCAGGGTGCTGCCCTGACATTCATCTCCAAAGCCCACGAGCAAGGCAGGCGGAATTGCCAGGAAAAGGAGATCATGGGGGTGCAGCCCCGGGCTCCATCGGGGAGGGGGACCTTGGTCTCATCGTCAAGGCCACGTGGCTGTGCCCTTGGGAGCATGACCACTCTGGCCCGGCGCCTTCAGATGTCCTGAAGGCACTGCCTCCCCCCTGTCCCAATCAGGTCACCCCATGGTCGTGGGGTCATGACCCTGTCCTTGGTGGGAGCTGTCTGCGTGGACGTGCTGGTCACACCCTCTCGAGGGCTGGCCCCCATGGTGGTCCCGTACACCACTGTCCACCCATAGACCTCTGGTTGGTCATTAATGAAAAGGTTGTGGGGCTTCATAGCACTGAGGTTCCACTCTAGTCAAGAAATCTGGACATCCCCGTGCTCGCGGGGTAGGCCGAGTGCCCCTCTGGTGAGGTTCGGAGCCCTGGGGCGGGAGGCGCTGTGTGGAGTGGGGTCGGCTTTCTCTAGCTCAGCCCTTGGTGTTTAGTTTGAGGCCACAGCAGCCAGCTTGCAGGCCCCCAGCCTGGAAGGGGGATCGGGGTGGGGGTCAGACACCCACCTTCTCCTCGCGGGAGATCCCGGTGCCGGCCCCCGAGTCCGTCTCCTTGGGCTGCATCTCCAGGACGGTGCGGAACAGCTTCTCCGAGGTGACCGTCAGGAAGCCGATCTCCGCGTTGGGGTGCAGGCCGTACAGGTAGGGGCTCTCGGGGGGCAGGTTCTCGTCGATGTATTCGTGATAGCCCTGCAAAGAGGGGCTGGGTGAGCTGGAGCCTGCATCCTCCTCGTACGAAGCCTCTCTTCCCAGAACCTTCCGCCCACCACTTGCCCTCTGGGCCGACCCCCTGTTTCTGTGAGCCCCTGTTGGGGCCACCCCCCACCGCACAGGGCGTTTCCCCTCCCACTCTGTGGAGGCTGCCTCTCAAACCTGCTTTCTGGGTTGCCTGCCCGCTGGCTGCCTCTTGGAGGGTCTGTTGGTCCGTAAGGAGGCCCGCTCCAGGGAGCCCGTGGGCCAGCCCTGCTCTGTTGCTCTGCCTCCAGGAGGGCGCCCATGTCTCACATGCTCCCTGTCCCTGGAGGGCGCTCTCCTCACCTTGTAGTCCAGGTTGGGGGGGATCTGAAAGCCGGGGGCCAGCAAGATCTCCCCCTCCAGCATCTCCGCCCGGATGTACTCTGCCAGGTAGGTCCTGCAGAGCCGGCGGTCCCAGTCGTCGGTGATGTGGCCGCCGTACATGATCTCCCCGAAGAGGTAGCGGAGGTCGTCCCAGGGCACCTTCGGAGGGGAGCGGCTGCCATCAGGGGGCCTGCCAGTCCCTCATGTCACCCTTGCCCCTTCCTCCCCACCCGCTCTGCAGGGTCACCCGCTACCCTCAGGCACCAGGCCCAGGGCTGGCCCTGCCTCCCCTCTGACTGCAGCCAGCAGCTGAATGGGGTCAACCCCTGCTGACCTCTTCCCATGGGGCCCCTCTCACGAGGGGCTCTCCAGCCTCCACCCCCTCTCCCCGGCCCTGTGCCCACCCCTCCTCCATGCTCTCCGTTGGCGTGAGTCCCCTGGCACCGGCGCTGCGTCCCCGCAGCCTGCCTGTCCCTCCCACCTTTATTCCCCGACGTGGGGACAAAACGGGGAGCCACCTGTGACCTTTCCCTTCACCACCACCTCCAACAAGAGCAGTAACTCTCTGTGGATGGAGTGTTGGCTCTGGGACGCCAGCGAGCTTTTTGGCCACGTGGTCCAGTTCGTCGTTTCTTCACAGTCTAGTGGGTCTTCCGCTGACCCCACCCACAGCGCCCGGGTCCCAAGCATTCTCCAGTAGCCCTGCCCACGCGGGCTGCTGAGGGCTCTGTAGCAGGGCCAGCTCCAGCAAGCACCTTCTCCCCGACCCCAAGGCCTGGGTCTGCCCCGCGGGAGCCCGACCAAACCAGGCAGCGCACACAAGCGTCCCCCCCGGCGGTGGCCGGGTCTCTGCGCACCCCACGCTCGGCCACTCCCACTGCCCTCCGCTCTGCACCTGCTTCCACGCTGTGCCCTCAGCCTGGGGTGCCGCTCCTTCGGCCACCACGTGCCATGACTGCGCTCCTCTGAGGCCACTCGGGTGCAGGTCCCCCCCACCCCCGACAGCACTGGGAGTCCGTCCCCTCCCTGCTCCTCGTCCCAGCGCGTAGCTGCGGCTCCTGCAGAGGGGTGTCCAGCCGTGAGAGCCACACGGGGACGCCACAAACGAGACTTGCGATTTTCCAGCAGCCACATAAGTGGAAAGCCTGCTCCGGCAGGCACTCGGCACCAAACTGTGAATGAGGTATTTCACTTTGTCCGTTAGTTTTGCACCAAGCTTTTGAAACCAAGAGTGTCTTGGGCCCCTCGGTTGAGACGTGCTGCACATCACATGTGCCTCAGGGCCCGGGACCTCACCGCACACACTTCATTTTCTCTGAGGATCGCAACTCCTTGAGGGCAAGGTGGGCATTGATGTAGCTCCTGCAGTGCCCTTCCTGGATGGCAGCTGGCTGCCAAGAACAGACAAGTTAAAGTTAACTGAATAGAACTTGTTGACTTTTTTTTTTTTTTCGGGCTGAGTCACACAACATGGGGAAATCTTAGTTCCCCAACCAGGAGTCAAGCCCAGGCCCTCAGGGGTGAGAATGTGGGGTCCTAACCACTGGACCACCAGGGGAGAAGTCCCAAGGACTTGTTTTATCAGCTATCTGTTGTGCTCTGACGAACTTTGACTTGGAACAGTAATCTCCTCTTCATTGTCATCCATGACTTTTCAGTTTTTCTCTCTGCTTGGTTATCTCGAGTGTGTGCTGAGCTGCTTTCTCTGCGTTTTGTTTTGCTTCGGGGACAGCTTCTATTTCTGCTGCCAAGTGGGGTCGGGCACACCCCACGCTCTGCCTCCCTGGTCCCAGCAAACAGCCTCTTGGCGGGATGGCCCTTCCCCGTGGGGTGTGGAGGGGAGCAGTAGGACTGACCCCAGGGGGCGGGTGCTGTGTGTCCACCTGCCGGCTGGAGTCCCTGGAGCGCTGGTCAGAGGCGAGTTGCCGGGCCTCGTCCTCAGAGTCTGGGTCGACTTTCTCAGAGTCGGGAGGACGGACGGGCCTTGGGCGGTGGGTGACCTCATCGCAGGTGTTTACTCAATGTCGTCTCCCCGAAGCCACGGGCTGGGAGGAGGGGAGGCCGGGCCTTGCAGGCCTGAGCTCACACTGCTGAGCGGGATGCCGAGCGTCCCTCACGCCAGCCGTCACGGGAGCACACGGTGTGCGTCCTGAAGCGGTTTCCTACTCAGGTTCTGTGTGTCACGAGGGAAGCGTCTGCGTAAATGTTGTCACAAGCTCCTAGCACCACTTCTTCTCCCACTCGGGTCTCCCGGAGAGAAGGCCTCTGACGAAGCTGCTGTGATGATGCAATTCTTTCTTCACGTCTTCCTGCGTCTGTTTACTTGTGTGAGTGTCGTAAGACGGGCCAGTGGCGTGCAGCTCGGACCCTGTCGTAGGTGAAGTGACCCCTGACCCCACCGGCACCTGCAAACGGGGACCGCCACTCCCTTCCCCGAGGAGGGCCGACGTCCACCCGGTCTGCCCTCCCGCCTTGTCCCGGGTTGGGTGTTTTGCCAGGAACTGAGCAAACAAACAACATTCCAGGCTCAGGCTTGGGTGGCGGCCGTCCTGGGAGGTCTGCTTCCTCCAGGGTCTGAGGACAGCTGGCCCAGGTCTCCCCGCTTCCCAGCATGTCTGAGCTTTCTTATGATGGGCAGGGGGTATTCTCCACCCCTTGTCTCTTAGCCCCCAAAGCTTGGAGGGGGTGCTGTGAGCCTCAGGCCTTCAGACATCCTTGGGGCAGGTGTCTCGGCCCTCAGGCACTGGGCCCAGCAGTCTGGGTGCCCTGGGAGCCTCGTGGGCCAGCGGAACATCCACCGTGGTCAGTGTAGGAAGGCCCTACTGTGCAGGAGTGCAGAGGAGCCCAGGGTGTATGGGGTCCCCTTCTGCTGCCTCTTGGTGGGGTCTCACAGAGATGGGTCCTGTGCCAGGGCCCCGCTCCACGTGGGAGATCCCGAGAGGGGCGTGGTGAGGCTGGAGGCCGGCCAGCTCTTGGTCCCCAAGGCCCTGGCTGCCTCTGGCTTTGGGGCTCATGTCTGGACTCACCACACCTCAGGCCCACAAGTCCCCCCTTGGGCCACAGACAGGCCAGCTGTGGCCCTCTGGCCGGAGTTCCTGGCTGAGCTGACTCTGCAGCCCTTGCGGCGTCTTGCATAGCACCTTACATGTTTGTCTCTGTTTTCAACAAGAACGAAAGGAAGCGCTCTGCGTCTCCAGGGAGAATTTTTTTTTTTTTGGCTTGCCCTCTGATCCTGAGTTCTGTCTCCAGACACTGCCCAGGGAGGCCAGCAGCCCCCTCGAGGCTCTTTGGCTTCTCCCAGTTCACCACACTGCCCAGGGGGCTGGCGTTTTGGGGGGAATCCCTGTTCAGGTGCAGGACGAGTGGGTTCCCAAAGATGCTGACCCTCGTGGAGTCATAAAAATTGCCAGACAGCTGAGGACTGCTGGAGGGGCTGACCAGGGCCTGGCTGCTAACCACGCTATCAGATGGGTGGGGTCACAAGGAGCCTCACGTGTTCAGGTTTTCTTTGGCTTATGGAACGTAGGGAACGTCTCTTAAACATGAGACAGAACAATGGAAAGGGAGGGCGGGCGGGAGGACCACCCAGCCGGGCACCAGATGGGCCCTTACCTTGGGGTTCGCCTCCAGGTAGTTGTAGAGCACATTGATGGAGATGGTGAGGTCCCCGTTGTTGAAGGGGTACGAGCGGTTCCAGCCTTGGGCTCCGAACTTGCGCCGCTCGGCCACCACGGCGTGGAAGTAGCACAGGGCGAAGAGGATGCACTTAAACTCGATTTCCTTGGTGCACATCTCCAGCGTGTCCTGTGGGAGGGCACCCCCCAGGTCAGGGGGGGTCCACACAGGTGCCCTGGGGGGGCCAGGGCCATCTCTGCTGGCTGCTTCCCTAGGCGGGGCAGGGGCGTGGAGGATAGGGGTGGGCCCTGAGGCCACTGACTGCTCTGCGCTGGTCTGTAAAGCCGGCTAAAGAGTGCTTGCTTGTCTTTGCTTTGAATGCAGCTGTATCACATAAATATTGGTTACAAGTCAAACTACTGATACCTCTTCCTAATAAAATATTACCCAACATAATTCCGGTGCAGTTATTAACATTTCCTCATCGTCTACACACCCCAGACTCTCCGAAAACAACCTGTGAAGGGGGAGGGGATGTTTAGCAAAGCCTTTCTGAAAGCAGGTGGCCCCAGGGAAAGGCAGACCCAGCTCTGAGTCTGAAAGCTAGTTCTCTCTGGGCAGGTGAGATTTTAACTGGTCTTTGCTAAGCGGTGGCTCTGGGCAGAGAGGCTTCTGGAAGCTAAGCTGTGTCTTCACCGGCTCAGCCCTATGAGCCCTGCCCGGCAGCCAGGTGCTCTGTGGGGGCGGCAGCCCTGGTGGCCAGAAAGCCAGATTGGGGGACAGACACCTCTTACGGGGTCTCGGTGGGGAAAGTGCCAGGGAGAAGCACGCCAGGTGTAACACGGGAGGCGTCCTGCACAGGGCGTTGGGGAGGCCGCCCTACCTGCGTGAAGAGGTCCAGGGCCTTGTGCAGGTTGGCGTACATGCCCGTGGGCGGCTCGTTGGTGATCTTGATGGCATTCTCCAGGATGCCCTGGGGGATGATGTGGCTCTCGGGGCTGGGGGCCGGCTCGGCGCTGATGAACACGCGGTAGTCATCATGGCTGCCTACGCTGTACCGCTCCAGCTTCTTGTCCAGGGTGCTTAGCCACCGGGCCACCAGGTGGATGTTCTGTGGCCAAAACCAGGGCTCAGCGCCCGCACACTCCTCCCCAGGACAGGCCCCTCCGCAGCGGCCCCCATGGCCCCAATCCTGCCGTCTGCCCTTCCCTGGGGCACTGGCCACGCTGGGTCATCTCACCCAGTGACTGAAGCCCCGGAGTCGCGGCTGGTGCTCAGTTAATTCAGGGCCTCCAGCCTCGGTGGGTTCTTCCCGCCCTCCACCCAGCATCAGGGCTGAGATTACATGGTCTCCGCCCCTCCTCTGGGAGGCTTGCGTGGAAAGCAATGACCTGGAGAAAAGGCTACCCGCGTGCACTGTTGGTGGGATTATAAATTGGCGCAGCCCCTATGGATAGCAGTTTGGAGGTTCCTCGCAAACAATGAAAAATAGAACTATGTTGTGATCCAGCAATCCCAATTCTGGATATTTATCCAAGAAAATGAAAATGCTGATTCCAAAAGATACAATGCACCCCTGTGTTCACAGCAGCATTATTTACAGTTGCCAAGTTGTGGAAGCAACCTAAGTGTCCGTCAGTAGGTGAGTGGGTAAAGCAGATGTGGTGTGGCAGCACAGTAAAACGTGAAGGAACGGTGAGCACTGGATGGGGTGAATATGTGGGTAAATTTAAAAATATCTCTGACTGTAACCAGCAATAATGTATCATGGGATTTAAAATACAAAATAAGAGTGCATGATAATATCAAAAAAGATGTGGTATACCTATATATGTGGGTACACACACGGAATATTACTTGGCCCTAAAAAAGAATGAATTTTCGCCATCTGCAACAACGTGGCCAGTCCTAGAGAATATGCTTAAGTGAAAGAAGTCAGACAGAGAAAGACAAATACCGTATGATTTCACTTACGTGTGGAATCCAAAAAACAAATGGACAAACAGAGTCATAGATGAAATAAACAGGTGGTTGTCAGAGGGGTGGTGGGAGGAGAGAAATGGAAGGGCGATTACGAGGTACAGATTTCCAGTTACAAAACACATGAGTCACGGGGATGGTGGGGAAGGTGAGGTAATGTCTTTGGTGACAGATGGTAACTGGACTTGCAGTGGGGATCGTTTGTGTAAAAGCAAAGGAACAAAGAGAAGGACTTGAACCCGGGGTCCCCACATGGGGCCAGGCTAGGCCCCGTGGACTGAGGTCCGCCCTGCTGCGGGGTCTGCCGAGGCCGGGGCGGGCCTGCAGTGGGGCCAGCGGGGACCAGGGTGGGGGCTTGGACGGCTGCAGGGCCAAGGAGGGGCGGTCGAGCCAGCACAGGGGAGGAGGGGGGATGTCTCTCACTGTTGAAGGATCCACACTTGTGTCACCAGGACAGCGATGATGTCCCAGGCCACCTGCTGACCGGGCGGAGCCATGCTGGGTATGGGAGCCTCCTGCCTCAACCCTTCCTTCAGGGCAGGGGCTGTAGGAGTCCCAGCCAGGCTGGTGAATGCGAATCCCTTCCTGCCAGCCTTCAGGCCAATCTCCTCGGGTGCTGAGGCCCAGGGGGAGCCCTACCCCAGGGGCACGGGCACCCTCTCCCCCGCACCTGCAGGATAACCCAGTGTCCGTTCTCCGCCGCCATGTCCAGGGCGTTCTCGGCCACCACCTCTTGTCCCTGTCCCAGGGACACGTTATGGAGTTTCCCGTTGTCTATGGTAAATCCCAATTTTTTCCCTGAAGGAAAGAAAAACAGGAAAAGCAGCGGGACGGCTGAATGACAGAAACAGAAGTTCCGTGATCCACAGCTGGGAATTCCATACCCTTCCTCTTTTAAAATTTGACATAAGGTCAAGCATACCACTTTGAAAGCCATCTTTATTAGGGTCATGTCATAATTCACAACGTTGTGCAACCATTTATCTGGATCCAGGACATTTTCATCGTTCAAGAAGTAGACCCTGTACCCATCTCACTGCCCCCACCCCCCAGCGTCTGGGGACCACTAATCTGCCTTCTGCTTCTATGCATTGGATGTTTCCAATACAAGGAATTGTAGAACATGGCTCCTTGCCTCTGGCACAACGCTCTGTCTGCTGTCCATGTCACAAGGGTGGGCCAGTGCTTATTTTTTTTATTGAAGGATAATTGCTTTATAGAATTTTGTTGTTTTCTGTCAAACCTCAACAGGAATCAGCCATAGGTGTACTGTATCCCCTTCCCATCTCCCTCCCCATCCCACCCCTCTAGATCCATACAGAGCCCCTGTTTGAGTTTCCGGAGCCATACAGCAAATTCCCGTTGGCTCTCTATTTTACATATGGTAATGCAAGTTTCCCTGTTACTCTTGCCACACATCTCACCCCCTCCTCCCCTCTCCCCGGGTGCATAAGTCTGTTCTCTATGTCTGTGTCTTCACTGAGCCTTTCATGGATTCACCTCGTTAGGATCAGCCATTCATCAGCTGATGGACCTGTGGGCCAGATCTGCCTTTTGGCCGCTGAGAGTGCCGGTCCCTGTGAAATGTGTGTTTGGGAATGTCCCCGGGAGTGGGAGTGCTGGGCCATCCTGTGGTTCTCCGTGTAACTTAGGGAGGGACCACCGCCCGTCTTTCCACCCACTCGCGGCCCCACCAGCAGCGCACAGGACCCCGGCAGCGGTCCTTGCTGCGTGTCAGGCACTTGCCCTTCTGCTGGATTGGAGGGGTCTCTCTCCGTGGTTTGGACCCGTGGTGTTGCCTCTTGCCGGCCACACTTACCCAGGGCTTCCACGTCCTTCAGGGGGTCGACTCCTGGGGAGAGGATGAAGAAGATGGGGGTGGAGGGGCTGCTTTCCTCGTAGGACTTGGAGAACTCGACGCTCCGGCCCTCCACGAACTTGCTGCCCATCTTCTCCTCCACAAAGTTCCTGAAGGGACAATGCTCAGTCAGACCCGAGGGGGAGGGCCTGTTTACCTGGGGGACTTTGTGAGGCAGAGAAGGGTCTCTAGGTGGAAAGCCAGTTTCTACCGGGGCCTCCTGCAAGCCGGGAGGCCATGTGTGGTGTTTGCTTGGGGCGCCCTTGGCTCCCGTCCACCTGCACGTGGACAGGTGAGAGGCTCTCACCCCTGCTTTCAAAGGTGTGCAGGCTCAACCGGGACAGGACTCAAGGTGCCACGGCGTCCAGGTGACCACACCTCTGCTCCCAAGGAAGGGGCCTGTCCCTAGAGACTTCCTGCTTCTGCTCCCCAGACCAAGGCAGCAACAAGGAGCAGAACCCAGACCCATCTATGGGTCCTGGTGATCTCCCAGGGGCCTGAGGAGGAAGGACGTGTGCATTAGAGCTGCCTCGACGAGCTCCAAGGACCGTAAAATATGCACCATCAGGAAAGTCACAGGAAAACCCCAAATTCTCTTCACATAAGCACCTCTCTCCAAGTCCCAGGCTCTGTGTTGACCCTGACAAGGCTGGGGTCAGTCGAGGCTCCTCTTAGGGTGACCTGGCGTCTCATGTCGGCTCTCTGCCCCTACCTCTTGACCACAGGTGGCTGAGCTCGCTGTGTCTGAATGAGCCACGGGAGCTAAACTTATGTCTGGTGTAGTCTTGGACAGGACGATGGCAGCCTCCTTAGGAGATGACTCCCAAGGGGTCGGCGACCTGAGGCTCTGAGCATCTGAAGTCCCTCAGGTGGGCCCCGTCACGTCAAAGCATCCCTCGGAGTCAACAGGAGTTTGCAGGTAGGCACCAGGCGGGCCTTCCTACTCCTGCAGGAGTGACACCTCTCATTGCACCCCACCCCGCAGTCTGGCCTTCACTGGCTTCTGCACAGACTCCCGAGTCGTTGCTGAGTCCAGGCCGGCGGGGCTTCATGCTCAGTGCTGACCCCAGGCCAGCAGGGGGTCCTGCTAAGTGCTGACCACAGGCCGGCGCGGGGTCCTGCTTAAGGCCTCCAATCGTGTTCAGTTCCTGCCTTTGAAATCGACCTGGAACGTCACTGTGGGGATCCCTGCCCGGGAAGGACGACTGGGAGGTAGCGGGTCCCGCCCCGGGGCAGGAATGTCGCGAGCTCACTGCTGCTCCTGGCGTGGCCGGGCCACGTGGTCACTCTCTGCAGATGAATTGATGGCAGAACAGCAGGCGCCTGGTCCCGGTCGGGCTCCCTGCTCGGGCCCTGCGCCGGCATACGTGGGTACCAGAGCCACCCCCAGCGGCCTGTTGGTGACAGGTGTACCGATCCGGCTGGTGTTTCGGGGGGCCTGACGCCAGCGCCCCGTCTGCCGTGGGCAAGTGACCCTCCTGAGGCCTGTGGGCTGGAGGAGGCAAGGCAGCGGGCTCGAGGGGTTGGTGGAGGGCCGAGTCAGCCTGGGCGGAAGGCGCTGGGGCGCCTGGCGCCCGGGCTCTTGCTGACCGTGTGTTGTTACTATTCGCCGTGGACTTGGACCTGGATCTCCTTGCTGTTGAGCTCCGCTCCCCTGTCTCACTGGGGAGGTGAATCTGCTTTCCTCGCCTCCATCATGGAGCATGACATGGGAGCGCCTGGCGTTCACGGTCGCCCACGCGGTCCCGGTGCCCTTTCTCCCGTGTGACTTGGGTGACTCACGAGCGCTCTGGGGGCGATGAATCTGGACACCCACACGCGCTCAGCTCTCCCAGCGGGCGGCGTCCCGAGGGACGGTCAGTGCTCTTCCCCTCGGTCTTCCCCAGACTTCGTCCATCCTGCCTCTGGCGCTGAGCCCACGTGGGTCCTGCTCTCTCCCTGGGCCTGCTTGGCTCTCCCTTGCGACGTGATGTCTGGCTTCACTCTACCTGCTTCCTCCTGCGCCCAGAACCCCTCCGGGTCCCGTTCCTCTTCGGTCCCAGGAAAACAAAGCAAAACAGAAACAAACTGGTCTGTGAGCAATTGGTGGGTGTGAGTCAGGCCTTTGCTTTGTCAGAGGGGAATTCTGTGAGGGACGTGGGCGTCTTTTGGGAAATCTAGTTGCTTTCGGGCCACTGGGACGAGTGGAAAACCAAGAAGCCTCTCTTTGAGAGAACGGGCCTGCTTCGGCCCCTCCTCTCCCCACGACACCGCAGCGGTCTGCCCGGGTCGGTGGGTGTGTATTACAGCGGTAGCTATTCCTGGAGTCTTTCTGTGCTCTGGGGAGTGAAAGGAACCAGGAGCTGACACTCGATGGCTAAGTTTCCAGTCCTGGAGGCGGTTCAGGTCCAGGAAGGTTGCTCACGAAATCACAACTGTTCCCTTTGCAAATGAGCCGTAAAAACAAAAGATTTACTTGAAGTCCAGCCTTTGAGACCACGCACGTCCTCCGATGCTGATGGCTCTGCCACTGTTCCCTCCCCACGGCATCCTACAAGGACCCCATGTGGTTGTGCATGTTGTTCGTGCCCAGGCTTTTTTTTAAAATCTTGGCGGCAGACCCAGGGAGTCTTGTCTTCTTGTCTCTTAGCTCAGGGTGTCCTCGCCCAGGGTCAGGGGAGGCGGGGAGTCCCATTGGCCACCTTTGGAGACCCCAGTGCTACGAGAACGGGTGGGGTCCCATCCACTACCCGGCAGGGGCCTGGGGTGGGAGTGGCGAAGGGGTGGGGTGCTCACTTGACGGCGTAGGTCATGCGGTCAGGCCGCATGCACCGCACCATGCACAGCTTCTGCAGCGCCGTCTTGTTCTTCCACTCCTTGGGGAAGATCTCCTTTTCCGGGGCTTCCGACTCCACCAGCTTCTTCCACCGCTTGGCGGACCCCTCGATGTCGCTGTCTAGGTTCTTGAACTCATCCATCTCCGAGAGGGCCTGGGGGCAGACCACACTTTCAGCTCTCCCCTGTCCATCCCGGAGGTGGGGGCACCCTGCCCCTAGGCTCTGGGAGACGAGGCCTGGCTGATCAAACAATGAGCTGCTGGAGGCTGGAGGCAAACCAGAGAAAGCACTGGGACGAGGGAGGAGGAATCTGATCTAGGGACATGACTTTTGGCTCCTTTTCTGGGGGGGGGGGCGCTTTGGAATGGGGGACCGCCTTCCTCTGGTCTTTTGGGCTTAGACCTTGACACTTTGCACACTTTCCTGGAGGTGAGCAGGGGGCTCAGTTTGCCACCTGCAGGGGCGTGATGATGGAGCTGCCGTGACCCAGTAGGACGGCAGGGTCCCTGTGAGCTGGCAGGTAGCCCGTTACTCCCCAGTCTGTCCCCATTCTCCTGAACGTCAGGCTCCGAGCGCCTGTGTAAACACGCCTGGGCCGGGCAGGAAAGAGGGCGAGGCAGGGAGAGAACACGGTGTTCAGGGTCTAAGACCAACCTTGATACCGCCCCAGCCCTGGTGCTGCAGGAAGTCCACGGGCGACACGACCCCGGCCTTGAACGGGAACCGCAGGAGGAAGTCCAGCTCCACAGGGTTCAGCTCCTTCTTCATGGACAAGACCTGAGAGGCAGGGGGCTGGCTTAGCTGCTGTCCTGCAGCTGTGCGGGGGGCAGGCAGACAGGGGCACACGCCCCGCCCCCAAACTCGCAGGGGAAGCACTGACCAGCCCCTCTGGGGTCGGCCCACAACTTGCTCAGCCCCTCATTTGTTTTTATCGGGTTGGCCAAAAAGTTCGCTTGGGTTTTTCCGTCCCTGTCGATGGCTCCCATCAGGGCACCTTCCCTGGTCTGAACTCAGGGGTGTCCCACAGCAGTGCCTCAAACCCATCAATCACCAGGAACAGTGTTAAAGTGCGGGCTTGGAGCCACTGGGTCTGAGCCGGAGCCTGAGGCTCTGCATCTCCAGCACCCCTGAAGGGTCCGCTGCACGCCCCCACCTCGCCCCTCGGGGCTCCTTGTGGTGCCGGGTCCCTCCCAGGGCCCCGAGGCCAGACGTTACCTGAAATGCCACCTGTGCGAGGAAGATGAGCTTGTCACGCTCGAAGAGCCCGCGGGCCGTGTACATGTACACCGAGTACGTGATCTCGTCCGTCAGGTTGATCACGCGCTGTTTGACCTCATCGGCGGGGGTGGTCTTCTGGATGGCCTTCTCGAACACCACGTTGAAGGCCTGGGGGTGTCACCGGAGGCAGGGGCTTGGGGACGGCCCCTGAGGCTGCTCCACGCCGCCCATGCCAGCTCTGGTTGGTTTCCGTTGGGGGTGGAGGTCTGGGGAACACCACGTTGAAGGCCTGGGGGTGTCACCGGAGGCAGGGGCTTGGGGACGGCCCCTGAGGCTGCTCCACGCCGCCCATGCCGGCTCTGGTTGGTTTCCGTTGGGGGTGGAGGTCTGGGGACACTGCTCGGACCCTCACTCCCTGGGCTGGTGCTGGTCAGACCTGGCGCCCCAGCTCCCGCCCCTCACGCCCACCTGCAGCCCGAACCCCGAGGGCCGCAGCCGGGGGCCCGGAGGTAGCCGCACCTTGAGTGAGAACTGGTAGATGGGGTTGATCTTGTTGAGGTCGTTTAGGATGAAGTACAGCAGGGACGCCCTCGCCGCGGCCGGCCGGTAGTTCTCTCTCGCCTCGTTAATTTTAACTTCTGTGATTTTTGCCTCTTGCACCTTGAAACAAACAGTCACTTAGGGTGGAAGACCTAAGTAGACTTTTCTCCAAAGAAGACAGGCAGATGGCCTAGAGGCACATGGAAATATGCTCATCATTGCTGATTGTTAGGAAAAAATACACATCAAAACCACAAAGAGGTGTCACCTCACACCAGACAGAATGGCCTTCCTTAAAAAGCCTACAAGTCCTGGAGAGGGTGTGGAGCAAAGCGAGTTCTTTGCTGCTCCCACTGTTGGTGGAAATGTAAGTTGACGCAGCCACAATGGAGAACAGTATGGAGATTCCTCAGAAAACTGGAAATAGAACTACCATATGATCTGGCAGTCCCACTCCTGGGCATCTAACTAGACAAACTATAATTCAAAAAAATGCATGCACCCCTATGTTTATAGCAGCACTCTTCACAATAGTCAAGATGTGAAAATGACTTGAATGTCCACCGACAGATGAAGATGGTGTGTCTGGTGGGCATCCGTGCCCTCTGTGAGGCTGTGACTTCTCAATGACCGGCAGCCCACCGGCCATGCCCGCTGTGTGCTATGGCTGGGGGTTTGAGGGCGTGGGTCCCCGAGATGGTTTCTTACTTTCTCCTCAATCTCACTAGCCGTGTGTTTGGTGGTCTCCAGGTTCTCCACTAAGGCAGTGTCTCCCAGAAAGTTGCCCGATGCGGCCGACAGCCGGGCCAGCAGAGAATCCTCCAGCTCTTTCAGAACAATCTTAAATTCATTCTGGGACTTGGTGAGGTTTGCCTGCAAGTGGGACAGGGACCCGGGAAGGGAACTCAATTGCTGGCACGGCCTGGCCTCCCCATCTAGGGTGGGGGGGCTCGGGGGTTCAGAGCCTCTCGACAGCTTAGCTGAGGCCTGTCATGCACAGTCAGCAAGGGTGTAGGAACCACAGTGGGGCTGGGGACCCCTGTGAGCCCACGGGTGTGGCTCAGACAGCCCAGGAGGGGACTGGTACACGTGGGGCGGGAGTTCAGTGCTTTTGGGCGTGCGGGGCGCCGCTGTGGACTCCCATTCTCTCAGTGACGTCGTCACTTGATTTAGAATCAGGTTTGGGGGGTCGCTGGGGAGGCGGAGTGACTCATTTTGTTGTATAAAGCACACTCGGTGTGACAAGCGGGGGCCCCTTCAGAGTTGCCGGGCATGTGGGTCTTGGAGACCTGCCCCCTCAGTCCAAGCCACCCACCCTGCTCCTGCCTCGTCGCACCTTTAGCTGCTCCAGGTCCGGGCGCTCCTTCGCCACCACGGCGGCCAAGAGCTGGTCCTCCAGCCCGTCCCTGGTGACCAGGAAGTTGATCAAGGTGCACTGGGCCTGCATCTCGGGCTTGTAGTGGGGGTTGAAGTACTTGGTATGCAAGATCAGGCGGAAGTTGGGGTGGTACTCCACCTCCTTGTCGCCGATCTTAATGTACCTGGGGTCGGTGGAGGGAGGTATTAGGAGGGCCCCCCCCCAACCCCCGGTGACCTCGGGACAGCAGCACAGATGCCCCCAGGACTCCCACCAGCCTGAGAGAAGAGTCCAGACTTCTAAACAGAATGTCACTATAAAGCTGCTTAGAAGGAAGGTCTTCCAGAAGCCATCTGCACAGTTTCCCACTTAACCAGGAAACCATTTCCCTCTAATGTACATGAAATTGGGACTTCCTGATGGTCCAGGGGTTAAGAATCTGCCTTCCAAAGCAGGGGACGCGCGTTTGATCCCTGGTTGGGGAACTGAGATCCCACCTGCTGAGGGACAGCTAAGCCCTCAAGCCTCAACTAACGTCCGATGCAGCCAAAATAACAAAAGGAAAAAATTTTTAATAAAAAAACAAGCGCATAAAATCATGGTGTATTGTGTTGGGGTTCACCTTAATGAATAGTCTGAAACTTGGGAAAAAAGAAAACGGAAAACCTTTTCTCCTTGAGGGTGCCACCGGCGTTTCTAGAGAAAGCACCTGCTCTTTCTCTGGCTGGCCTGTTCTGGTCTTACAGCAAGTTCACTCAGCCCTGGCTGCACGCCTTACTCATGTGGGAGCCTCTGAAGAAACACTCGGGCCTGGGCTGCCCCCCAAGGCCATTAACATCAGAAAGACACTGACCCCCAAATTCAGAACACCAGGACATCTGAGAGCTCCCCAGGCAAACCTGATGAGCAGCCAGGAATGCAGGTCGGCTCACCCTTGGTAGGGGTTCCTTCTCTCTGGCTCCCCACTCTGCTACCCCCTTTCTGGCTGAGCTCACTTCTGGGGGGGGGCCTCTAATTTCACCCCTGGGTATCACCACTCAGGCCGGGCCTTCCTCAGAGTCTAGCATATCAGTACATTTGTCACCTCTATTTTGGGCTTCTGCCTACACCCCTGCATTTATAGGCGACTCAGATCGACTATGACCTTTACATTTTCAAAGTTGATTTACATTTTTATGTTAGAAAAGTAAGATAAGCTCAGTGCATCAACCAATGAATGGATAAACAGAACGTGGCAGATCCACAGAATGGAATATTATTCAGCCGTAAAAAAGAACAAAGTATGCATGCTTACTACAGCTCGAAAAGACACTCAGGGAAACCAGGTACAAATGTCCTAAATGCCACTGGATTGGTTACTTTTGGTTAATTTTACGTTATATGAATCTCAGCTGAATAGGAAGAAATAGTAATACTGGCTCAAGATTTGCAAAATGCATGAAAACAGGAAAAAAGATGACCATGAAGGATGGCCGTCTGCAGGCAATCGCTGATGCAGCATTGGTGTAGGTCTCCCTCCCTAACTGGGATGTGGACCCACCACTGCTCTCCCGGTGGCCCCACCCAGGGAGCTTCCCCGATCACGCCCCTCGGCATTTTGCTAAAGCCCCTGCGGCGGCTCCGAGGAAAGGAGAGGCCCTGCCCTTCCTCTTCTTCCGGAGGCCAGACCTCAGCGCTGAGGACCATCACGTGGGGGAACCTGTCACTCACTTTCCCTTTTTGATCGTGTTCCTGCCCAGCAGGGGGTCCAGAACCGGGTCGATGGTCTCGCCAATGTTCTCGATGAGCAAGGTGTCCCCTTCTGAGATGGCCTGCTCGATGATGTCCAGGTAGCTGTGGGCACAGCACGAGGTCGTGAAGGCCCTGAGGCCCGGTGACCATGCAATCACATGCCCCGGGAGGGACGAGAGAGGTGGCTGAGGGGCCAATAGTTTGTTCCTCTCCCAAAGGGTCCTTCCGGAGGGGAGCGCAGGGCTCTGTGTAAATCACCCCCGGGGGGGGCGGGGGAGGTCTGAACATGGAGCTGCTTTGTGGCTGCAGAACTAGACATTCCACATCTGCGTTTCCTCTCACCGCCCCACTCCCTGGGAAGGCTCCCCGGCAGCTGTGTTATGGGCACTGCTTCTCATCTGTGATAAGAGACGGCAAGATGACCAGCCGCAGCCTCCTAGCTGGCCAGTGACCAGGCAGGGCCGCCGCAGGTGGGAGTCAAGGTGTTGGTGCTGCCCCTGCAGGAGCGGCAGCGAACGGGGAGAGGGGAGCCACAAGTGTGATTCTTCACTGTCGGCGCCGTTCCCTGGGGTCTAGGAACTAAGAAAATCTACCCCACCCATGAGCCAGTTTGTTTCCAAAGACCTGTCCATTCATTTAACAAATGAAAGGCTATGAATGGGCTTCTCAGACTTCTGGCTGAGCTAATGGGCTGGCCACCACCTCTGGAGACCCCACCCCTCCCCCGCCTCGGTGACCACGCACCTCTTCTGTCCCAGGCGGATGGCCTTCAGCTCGCTGCCATATTTGTTTTTGATCCACTTGATGCCCTGCAGCTGGGCGTCCACGATGAGGGGCCAGCGCTCCGTGTTACACAGGATGGTGGCATTCTCCGTGGACATGCGGTCGCTGGGGAGCCCTTGGTTGTTCCAGGTGGCCACGTCCGCGTCGTCAGTCAGCAGGGTCAAGGGGTCCAGACCGTTCGTGATTGGGATCGGTACCTGCCAAGGGGGGGTGTGTGGCCTGACTCACCGCTCAGCGGGAAGCGGCTCTCTGAATAACATATGGGCTGCAGGGGAAGATAGCCGCTCGGAGCAGCTTGGTACCTGGCCAGAAAGGATGTCAGCATCGTTAGCACCGGGCCGCCGTCTGCACCCTGGCTACCCTACAGCCTCCGCCTTTTTCATCTCAGGAGCCACGGTGAGACCTGGCTGGATCTGACCCCCCTACCCCCATGGACCTCCCCAGACGTCCTGAGTGATGAACGCCATGGGACCTCTTACCTTTAAATGGTTTATGTAAGGGATCCAAAACCTCTCCATCAGCTCATTGCGATATTTCTTGGTGAAGTAGCCCACGTAGGAGACGAAGGCAGAGATCAGCAGGACGTCCCCGCACAGTGTGACCCCCTGGCTTTTGAAGTTCTCCACCGACTCGGCCCAGCGGACGTTTTCTGACGCCAGTCCTCCTACCAGCCTGAGGTGGGGGCCAGGGGTCAGTGGGCGAAGCCCATGCTCCCGGCGGGCGAGAGGGTGGGCTGGAGGACTGGGAAAGCTGTGCCTCCACCTTACCATGGACCTTGTGGCTTCAAAGCCTGCCTTTGCTCAGTGGTTCAGGAACAAACATGCATTTTGGGGAGTTTGGGGGAGAAAACGCTTTAGGGAAGCAAAGCTAATGCTTTCTGGGTGTGGTTGGGGGCACCGAGCTTCCTTCCCCAGGGTGCAGGCATCACGTGCAATCCGATGCTATCTGACCACGTGACCTGACCGCCGAGGCCACTGCCTGGACACCGCTGAGCACATGCTCTGGGCAGCGGCTAGTCTGGTGGTGGCCACCTGGCCCCACGTGGGGTGGGGGCTCCAGGCTGTGCCTCATGCTTCTCAGGCCACTAGCCCGAGGGCTGGTCCCCAACCCTGAACTGCACACCCAGCGTCCGAGCAGGGCCAGGCTTGAGGAAGTATGGATGCCTGATTAGGCTCATGGAGGTGTGTCTCTAGCACCACCTGAGCAGTCCTTCTTCCCGGTGACCGAAAGACCACCTCTGACTGTCCCGGCAAAGGTGAGTCCACATCCTACCAGAGGCCGGGTAGGCAGCCTGGGGACCTTCCAGGGTTAATCCTCATGACTCTCTGTGCTCAGAAAGTGGGGGCTGCACCTGGGGCTTATCCCCCCAGAGGCCCTTCTGTGGGCTCATCCCTTTTGCGGGTGGGGGTCTGAGGGCAGGACGGGTCTTGTGATGGGGTGGGGGGGTAAGGCACCTGTTAGCCAGCGAGATCACCCTATTGGTGGCGTCAGCCTCCTGCTGGCACTTGATCTTCTCGGCCGTCGCTTTCTCAAATGCTGACGTCAGGTTGCTCAGGTTGGCGTTGAGTTCCTGGAAGAACCAGGTGAGAAGGCCCTGAAACTGGGGGACACTGAGGGCCCCTGGCTCTCCCAGGAATAGAGCAACTGAGCCCTGGGAGGGCTGAGGTCCCCCAGGGGCCTGAGGGCCACAAGGCTGAGGCAGGTGGCCTCTGGGGTGTTCTGGGCCCCACATCAGATGCTCAGCAATTCACAGGGGTGGCCAGGCCGACCCTCTCAGGCGGAGATTGGTGGCTGGCCGCGCCCGTGGGCCGCACTCACGGCGATCTTGTTCTTGATGCGGGAGAGCTTCTCTTGGGCCTCGGCCAGCTCAGCGTTGGCCTCCTCCAGGGCCTGCCTCTTGGGCGCCACGTCGCAGTAGACCTCGTAGAAGCGGACGATGTTGATGCACCAGGAGCACAGGCCAGCGGCAGCCGTAGACTTGGAGCGGATGAACTCGGGGTCGAAGGTCGGGTTGCCTTGGTAGGGCCTGGGGAGCGAGCAACAGCAGGCTGGGGATGCAGGCTCCCGCCACCCTGCACCTGCCTCCACCTCCACGTCTGTCTGCGCCTCCGGAGCCCATTACAAGCCATAGGAGGAGCAGAACATTTAATTTACTATCTTCTGGTGTCTTAATGATTATAGAAAGAAGACCAGACCAAAACAGAGTTCTGGTCTCTGGAGTGCAATTAAGGCTAAGAAAGGGAAAAAAGTGAAAGTCACTCGGTCATGTTTGACTCTTTGGGACCCCATGGACTATACAGTCCATGGAATTCTCCAGGCCAGAATACTGGAGTGGGTAGCATTTCCCTTCCCAACCCAAGGATTGCACCCAGGCCTCCCACACTGCAGACAGATTCTTCACCAGCTGAGCTACAAGGGAAGCCCAAGAATACTGGAGTGGGTAGCATATCCCTTCTGCAGGGGATCTTCCTGACCTAGGAACTGAACCAGGGTCTCCTGCATTGGAGGCAGATTCTTTATCAACTGAGCTATCAGGGAAGCCTATGAAAGGGAAAGGAAGTAGTGATTTCAAGTCCTCTGTTCTATACGATGGAAGAAAAGCTGCTTCCCCCACTCCAAAATCTTCTCTGTTCCTGCTGCTTTCTATAGCCAGTCTCACTTTCATTCTCCAGCCACTCTGGCCCTTGGCAAGAAAACTGGTGTTCAGGGGTCGGCAACTTGCCCAGATTTATGCCAACAGGAAGTGCTGGAACCAGCGCCCAGTTCTCCAGCATCACCAGAGAGGCTAAGGCTCTACAAGTGAGACTTCAAAGAGGTGACATTACAGGTGTTATCTTACAAGAGTGATGAGGAGCAATGCCCGCAGATGCAGTTAAGAAGCTCCAGAAACTAGTGTTTTTAAAATAACGGTGACATCATTGAGCATTAACAGACTGAGCTGTCTGGAGAAGGAATTCTGAATGGATGATTCAAAATTGTAATTGAAGAGTGATTGGAGTTTAGGTGGGGAACACAGCCCATCACCTCCTCTCTCTGGCATTTTTTACACTCTGTTTAGGCAGTGGGTCTGCGTCTATTAAGCACACTCCAGACAGCATGGGGAGGTGACAGTTGTGAAGTTTGCTGGGTGAAAAGAAGACGACATTTATTTTGGCACTATTTATGATGGCAGAAATGGAGACAGCTTAGACCCTCAACAGCGCAGGTATAGTTAATTACAATTCATCTGTGATTAAAAAAAAAAAAAGTGAAACAGTTCAAGTGTTTTGACAAGATAGGGAAAGGATTTTTTCTCTTGCAATGTTAAGTAAAAAATAAAAAGCAGAACAGATAATTGCATATATACAGTATTCTTTCAACTGCCAGGGGGAAAATCTTTAGAAAAAAGACTGAAAGGAAACATGCCAAATATTGACACAGACCACTTGCTGGAAGTGGGTCTGCAAGTGTTTTTCTTAAACTTTACACTAGTTCTTAGTCATCAAATGTTTTTCAGTCGTCCAGCTGTCTTCTGATACAGATGGAACTTAGAGGTTGAGGTCTCACCTGGAGTCACTGGGATCATGGGAAGGTCTCCCTTTCTCGCTTGGGGTCAGGTCAGCTTGGCCCTGAAATTGGGTTGCCAGGGGATGGCCAGGCACAGAGTGCTCACAAGTGTGTGTGCGCTAAGTCACTTCAGTCGTGTCTGACTCTTTGTGACCCCGTGGACTGTCGCCCACCAGGCTCCTCTGTTCATGGGATTCTCCAGGCAAGAATACTGGAGTGGATTGCCATGCCCTCCTCCACAGGATCTTCCTGCCCCAAGGACCGAACCTGTGTCTTTTATGTCTCCTGCATTGGCAGGTGGGGTTCTTTGCCACTAGCGCCACCTGGGAAGCCTGCTCACAAGTACAGTGTTCACCAATGCTAATGTTACTGGATTTATGGGGCAAGATGTGGAAGTGCCCACTCTACACACCCTTTCCAAGTCCCACCTCAAGAAACAGACTGGGACCTGGGGCCCTTTGCTGCAGCGGCTGCGCCTGGACAAATGTCTCCTTGAGCAACAAATGCAAAGAAACTATAAGGGACTAAAAATAACTATATGCATGCACAGCTGGGACAAATTATGAACAAGATACGAAAAGGCTAAAACTCACCGCTACTTCTAAAGTGCCAGGAGCAAAAGCAGGGTCGTATGCATGATCCCTGCATGCAGCACCACCAGGGGGGTGGGCAGACCACCCCTCTGACCCTACCCTTCAATCCACCCCTACCCTCACCCCATTTAAGAAGCCAGATCGACCAAGGTTGGGGAGACAGAGGGTGATGAGGCTCCCCCCGAGCTGGGATCAGCTCAGGTACAGGTAGATGCACCCAGACTGTTGCCTGCTGGCTTTGGGGTCCCACCTTGCTCTATGCCACCCAAGACCCTGCCCTGTCCCCAGCAAGCACAGGCTTCCCTTGGGACCATGCAGTGTGGGGCGAGGGACAGGCAGGAAGATTTGCAACCACACAGGCCCTGAACATGATGTGCTTCCGACAGGCTGAGACCTGGGCGGGCCCCATGGGGGCGGCCGAGCCCCAACTCACTTGAACGCTTTCAGGCAGGCCTCGGGGATGTGCTCCTTGTCGAACTTTTTCAAGGAGTCCAGGAAGGTGTCCACCTTGCCCATCATGATTTTCGCAGCTTTCCAGCTCTTGTCCTTGGGGATCTTGCCCCCGGGTGCAGTCAGAATCATCACAGCAGCTGTGACATTGACCACGGCATCCGGGGGGGACCCGAAGGACTTCAGCTCTGTCAGGTTGTTCTGCAGAGACAGGTGGATGGACCTGAGTGGGGATTTAGCCCTGAGCAGGACCAGGAGGTCCCCGGCGATGACCCCATGGCATCTCCTCTCAGCTCAGGGGTCCCGGTCCCTGATTCTTCCTCCTCCTCCTGCCCTCACCTTGTTCAGAGTGTCAAGGGCCTCTTGTGCAGCCAGCAGGGCCGGCTCTGCTTTGGCCAGGTCCGTTTCACAGGCCTTTTGTTTCTCGGTGACATTCTGGAAGGAAGCCAGACGGGAAAGAGGGATGCTGGGGCCCATGTGGATGGCACGTGTGAAGGGGGACCCTGAACGGTGGTGAGGAGGGGCGCTCCCCTCTGTTCTCACTCTCTGGGTCACTGTCTGGAGCCCGCCTTCCTGCCCCCCAACGCCTGCTGCCTCCTTTGCCCTAAAACACTCAGGTCAGAAGGCGCTGGGCGTCAACTGACTTGGGATTCAGGAAAGGGAACAGTGCCTTCTCTTGGCTCCAACTTCCAGGCCCAGAGGAGAAACCTGGGGCCATGCAGGCCACCCTCCAGGGCTTTGAGGCCTCTTCTCTTGATGGCATTGTGTGATCCCTCCAGATTGGGCCAGTTTTGGAGGTGGAGGCCATCCTCCTCTTAAAGTGAGAATGCCCTCGTTCACACATCCATTCATTCATTCACGCTTGCATGCGGGAAGAACCTAGGCACCAGAGAGATCAGGAGAAGCTTCCTATTGATCAGTCAGGACCCGAGTGACAGCAGAGGGAGGCCAAGGCCATGGGGGGCTGCGGGCTGTGCTGGGCACGGGGGCGGGCGGACCTCCCGGAGCAGCCCATGCTGTGCCCGACTTCAGGGAACAGGGCGTGGAAGGCGCTGACTCGGCCGGCGGTGCTGGGAGCAGCCCCCAGCCTCCCTGGAGTACGCCTGGGTGGGCCCTTTCGGGATCAGGGGTTGGAGAGGGGCCGGCACCCAGACATTAAGCTGCATGTGAGTATCGAATGGCAGGTCCCAGGGTTCGCGAGGCAGGTGCGGGCCCTGGCTCGGATCCTGGCTCTATCACTTGCTAAGTTTGAGACATCAGGCACGTTGCCGACCACACTAACAGGGCTGTGGTCATGCAGTTGACCGTGAGGGATGGAGGGGAGCTCCTGGGACCCTCCTTCGTTCCAGCGCTGGTGGGAAGGGCTCAGGCTTCCCCCTCCTGTCGGCTGTAGGGGGAGGCTGACTCAGGCCCTCTCAGGAGACAGCAGACAATTACTGAGGCTCTTAACTTAGACCCTCAGGCAGAGGCATGAATGGTGACGCAAAGGGCATGCAGACAGGGGCGATGAGCAATCAGCCTGACCACAGGGACCTTCAGCGTGGAGCCCACCAGAGTCGGGGGTGTCGGAACCTCTAGGGGCTCCTGGTGTAGGAAGTCTGAGGCCCAGGGCTCCGAGGCCATCTTCTCAAGCCTTGATGTGCTCACATGAGCATGTCCCTCAGATGCAGGCCTGGTTCAGCAGAACTGGGGTCTGGGAACCTGCATTTCTTACCAGCTCAGGAGATGCCACTGCGGGGGCCTGGGAGGGCAGCCCTCTGCTGAGCCGGGGGCCCTGCGTTTGGGGGAGATGCCCTTCCTGCGGGGGTCCTGCTGGGTTGCCCGGGCCCATGGGGAGATCCTGGTCACTCAGTGAAGGTGCCCGGCCGAGTGGAGCTGCCCGCCGCCTACCTTGTTGATGACCTCCACCTTGATCTCCTCCTCGTCAGCAATAGCTTTCTCCTTGCTGACTTTCTCTGTCTCCACACCCACCACGTGGATCAGCTTGTCCGCGTTCTCATTTTTCTGCTTGAGCTCTGCCTCCTGAACTGCCAGCTTGGCTTTTAAATCATCCACCTGGAGGGGGAGGTGAGGGAGACAGGCAGGCTGGGGTCCCGGCCAGTTGCTTACCGCTCCCTGGGATGCATTTCTCAGTGCTTTTTCAGCTTCTCCAAGGTAAGTATTCATTGAGCACCAGCTGTGTACACAGGGTCATCACAAGTATAAGACCCGTTCCTGAGGCTCGGGGAAGCAGCAGTCAAGGTGGCCTGGGTGCCGAGGAGTCGTGGGGAGGCTGGTGGGGCTGTGAGAGCTGGGGGTCGGGGATGAAATGCTCCTTTGGGTGCGGCCCCAAGTGGCCGGGTGGAGGGGGTGCCAGGTGGAGGGAGTACTGGGAAGTGGTGAGTGATGGGGTGAGACATCCTTCCCCATCTGGGTGATTTCTACCATCAGGGAAGCCCCTCGGTGCTGTCACTGCCCTCTCCTGGGCTCATTCACTGTGTCCTAGGACCACTTCTGGAAGGTACATTTGGGGAAAAGAAACGCCCGCTGGGCCAGCCTCCTCTTCCTTTTCTCTCCAGGGAGGGGGCAGGCCACTTCTTGGCTCCTGTAAGCACTTTCTTGGACATCCCGCACCACTGTGTCCCCCTATCGACCCCCATGAGGTGGCCGGACACATGCAGCCGCGCCTGTGTCAGGGGTCGTCCCCCACCTGCAGCTTTGGCCAGGAGGCAGGGACTCGGGGGCTGTTTACCAGGCCCCCCGGGGAGACGCTAACAGTGGGCAGTAAAGAGGGAGCCTGGGCCACACCAGGGAAGACACTCAAAACCAGGCAGAAGACTAAAAAATTAACGTGGCGTGAAAGTACAGCAGACACTATTCCATCGGGACGTGGCAGTGTGAATGGCACTCTAGGGTGGAGCCACCGTCCTGGGCTGCACTCGACGGGACGAGCAAAGCCCTCCAGACTCGGAGGCCCCCACTCCCCCGGGAAGCACCTGACGTAGCATCAGCATCCCGAGGGGATCTGGGACCCACTGTCAAGGTCAACACCCAGACCCTCGCTCTGGTTTACAAGGGGAAGTTTCCCCAAGGCAGGGGTCCTGGTCCCCTTACCAACATGTCACACATCTGGAGGAAGGTTCTGGAAGCGCGGCCCGTGGCCCCGCTCTCCTCTTACCTGAGAGGCCGTGCTCTGTAGCTTCATCAGCCCGTTCTCCAGCCTCTCGATTTTGGCGACCAGCTCCATCCTCTTCTTGGCCAGCAGGTTTTGGTACAGCTTGATCTGCTCCAGGAAGGTTTTGGGCGTGGTGTAGTTGTAGCGCCTCTCGGTGGCCAGGTACACCTTGGACATCTCATTGACGGTCGTGTGCACATAGGACATAAAGAGGCTGATGGAGGCCTTGACTTCCGGCTACAGAGACAAGGCAGGCCCATTCACTCCCCAGTGCCCTGGTGGGAGGGACCCAGGGGAAGAGGAGGCTGCTGGCCGTAGTGGACCACAAGGGGGGTTCCCTTACTTACCAAGGACCCTGGATGAGAGGTACCCCCCTCTCAGTCTTGGCGGCTCTGGTGCCCAGTGAGGGTCGAGACGACAAGGCCTGCAGGGCTCTCGTGGGCAATGGTGACATTGCACCACCAGGGCACCTTTCCACAGCCAAGGTTATGACTGTTCTATGAGTCACACATTCCCATATTCAACGTATTTGAATAACCAGGTTAAGTCTGCAAGCATGTATTGGGCATTTCCTGTTGTGGGCCTGGGGGGTTAGTAACTCCTTTCCCAGCCTCCTCTGTCCTGTGTCCATGTCAGGAGCACAGCCCCAAACCACCTGGGCCCCCCAACCTCCCCGAAGACAAGCAATGGGAGCTCTGCCCCGTGAATTGTCTGAGCAACGCTTGCACATGTGTGCTAAGTCGCTTCAGTCACGCCTGACCCTTTGCGACCCCATGGATGGCAACCCACCAGGCTTCTCTGTCCATTGGGATTCTCCAGGCACGAGTACTGGAATGGGTTGCCATGCCCTCCTCCAGGGGCTCTTTCCGACCCAAGGATTGAACGAATCTCCTATGTCGCCTGCACTGGCAGGCGGCTTCTTTACCACTGGTGGTTCAGTTGCTAAGTCATGTCTGACTCTCTGCGACCCCGTGAACTGTAGCCTGCCAGACTCCTCTGTTCATGGGATTTTCCAGGCAAGAATACTGGAGTGGGTTGCCATTTCCTTCTCCAGGGGATCTTCCCAATCAAGGATCAAACCTGGGTCTCCTCCTTTGCAGGCAGATTCCTTTCTAACTGAGCTACCAGGGAAGCCCTTCTTTGCCACTAGTGCCATCTTAATTTGGGAAGGTATTCATCCAACACATGCTTCTTCGGCATCTATTTGGCAGCCCTCACAGGTGTGGGTGGTGGGGCCGTTCCCCAGTCCTAGGAGACTCCCACCTCTACAGTTCCCTTGGGGCGTGGAGGACCCATCTTAAGAGTGGCATTCCCAGGAATGGCTCATCCTGCAACTGAACACTCTAACGGCGCAAGCAGGGAACTTTGCCCATCTTTAAAAGCTAGGGAGGAAGATAATTTCAGGCTTATTTTATCCCACCGAATAAGTGTGCAAAATAAATCAGACACAATAACCACATGGGATTTTACCTAGGCATGCCATCACTTACATCAGCTGGGTCAGAGTTTAATGATCATTCCTAGCCCAGCAATGAACTCAAATGGTGAATGTGGGCACTGTCTTTCGATAAAAGACAGACACCGTAAATGAAAGGGAAAAAATAAAAGAAGACTTATATTGCCCTATTGTACTTATCTTGCCCTATAAAAGGCAGGTTACAGGTGAGGGAGCAGCCTCCCTCGGGCTCAGCCATGTTGGGGCTCAGGGCTGCAGGAAAAAGTGTGCACCTGTATACATTCATGAAAGTAAATACGAGCTCTGCAATAGGCTCCCACCAGGGATTATGTTCAAAGCCCAAGTTTCTCCATCTGTTCTCACGTGGGCATCACACCTCCCTGAACCGGCCCTATGGGGCCCAGAACCCCCAGCTGGCTGAAGTGACCATCCTCCTGGCAGAGTGACTCAGGGCCACAAGATCAACAAATGATGGCCTTTGTTTATAAGTCTGATATTTTGAATGTTTCGGCATTGATTTTTAAAAATACTGCATTAAAACATCGCTGACCTTAATGAAGTTTTTGGTGCACCCTTAAGTTTTGCACCCAAGGGGAGTGCCTCACCCTAATCCCGTCCCTGGAGGTAGATGATGGGGGCCCCTCCCTCCCGGCTCTGCACCCCAAGACTCACCTGAATCCCCTCTGTGTCCTCAAGGAAGCGCGCGCTGACAGACACCAGGGCATCCTCTGGCCACTCGTGGAACCAGTTGATGGCCGTGCAGTTGACCACAGCAGGGAATTTTCTTGCTCGCACTCGCAGGATGGAGCCCACAGGGGAGAAACACAGGATCACCTAGAAGTGGACACGGAGGCTGCTCGCTGGGGGCCGGCAATGCCAGACAGTGCTGCTTTTCCCATTTAGAAGGAAGACTCTGGTGTTTGTCTCCAAGTGCAGGGGGTGGGCGGTGGTGCAGAGAACATTTCCCGTTCTGGGTGAGCAGTGTGGCCATTGCATGATGTGGGGGTGCAGGGGAGCCCGAGCCCCCTTCAAGGGGCCCTCGCAAAGAGGGAAGGACGGCTGGGTGCTGCAAGGAGTGGGGAGTCGGCACCCATGCTGGGCAGCGAGGACGCAGGTCCCTTTAGCAGGTCTGGTCCTTGCAGGGAGGCAGGAGAGCATTGCCAGGGGTGGGGAGGGGAGAGGGCAGCCGTCCTACTGGACACAGACCAGAAGGGAGAGAAGGACCCAGCGTGCACTCAGTCCAACTCGGGTAGCTTAGCCAGCGTCCCCCGAGAGGGAACGTGGAAGGTCAAGGCGAACTAATCTATTTACACGTGCTCTATGGGGGAGGGGCGCATACAGAAAACACTTCTTTTTGGCCACAGGGCACTTCTAACAGCCCACCTCCACCAGGCAGCCCACTGTATCTCTCCTAAGAGTTTTCCACTTCCTGTGTGAGGCAGAAGAGCCCCCAAATCCTCCCCGAGGGAAGACCCAGCCTAGAAGACCCCCAGGACCCCCTACCTTCAGGTGCCTGCGCACTTTGTCAATGAAGAACTTCCAGCATGCCTCCCGGGTGTCTGTCAGGCCGAGGGACTTCACCTGGGGCCGCATGGAGGAGATGATGTTCTCCACCTCGTCATCCGTGAACAGCCCGGGAATCTCCCCCGAGGCCAGCAGGTCGTTGATCAGCACCAGGAACTGCTCCTCGGCCACCTGGGAGTCGGTCATCAGGAACACCGAGGGAACGTTCTTCACGGCTGACTTGATGTACTGGGCGCCGAGGTCGAGCTGGACCGGAGGAAGACAGCTTCAGCAGTCTCGCCGAGGAGATGCTCATTTAGAAGCATCTCCCACCACCACCCAGGGCGGGGGGCACCTGCAGATCAGCCCCGTAAGGAAAGGCAGGGTCTGTAGATGGAGACTTGGGGCCTTGAGGGGAGGAGACCCACTCGTGGAGGCACCACTCGCCACAGAGCCAAACTGGAAGCGTCCCCGGGGTCCCTGGGCTGCTGACACATGGCCGGCCTCTCACTCAGCTTAAAGCACTTCAGAGGGTCTGGCCCAGCTCTGGGGGCCACTACTCTGGCCCCGGGAAGAGGGTTCATAGAAGTCAAAAGCATGCCGTTGCCTGGCTTGGCGACTGTGTGTAGGGGGCCTGGGGAGCTGACCCTGCGGGTGGGAGTCTGGCTAAGCCCCCACTCCCGTAAGTGCAGGCAGAGCTCTGGCTCACGATGAGGGACTCATTCCGTCTCTCCCTTCTCGTAGCACCACCGGATTCCAGCCTTTGTGGGTAACCGGGGCTCCTGTGGCTCCCCTGCCCACCATCACCCCCGGAGCAATCTCTGCTGTCTTCAAGCCATCTTCCACTTTGTCCCAGAACACCACCACATCCTGCCCCTCCTCTACCCAGATGTCCTTGATGGTATCTTGTTTTCTTGGGACCATGTCCAGGCTTTTCCATGAGGCACATGATGGCCCCCGGGGTTGGATTCTGACCCTTTACCCAGCCCCCACCCCGAGTCTCTGGCTTCCAGTAGGGGCCCATGGCTGTTGGTATGACTTTATAATATAATTGTGAATGTATCTGTTATACTAACAACACATACACTGTTAACTTCTTACTGCAACACTACTATCAGAACAATAATAATACATCTTCTAACCGTTCAGGAGTCTGCTTCCTCTAATAGGATGCAAGGTCCTATAGCTCTGTTTATAGCTGTCCTTACTTTCGAATCTACAGAAGCTACTTAATAAATGATGACAGGATGAGTGCAAAGCTGGCTCGTCTGGGGTGCAGGAGCAGCAAACGGGGACGACACGGATCACAGAGCTGCTGGGCTCATGCCAGGGAGTAAAATAGCAACAGCCACAGGTGGTCCCAGGGTGAGGTAACGGGAACGAAGCCCTCACAAGTGCAAACAGTATGGTACAATCATGAGGATAAAAGCAATATGATTAAGCTAACAGACTAGAAGCTTCATCAGTGGAGAAAACTCAGTACCGCTACACGGCTCCGGATGCAAGGATTCTGTCCACTCTGAGAGCCCTTGGGGGGGTCAGTGAGGACCCACTTGGCTCAGCTGAGAATCCACACATGCTGATTCAATCCAGGAGGCAGGACCTACCTTACGAAGACCTCGTCCTTAAGGCTTGGGTTTAAAAATTAGAACTGGCTAGTGTTTGATAGAGTAGCTGCGGGGACTCTGACAGGCCGGGCGCTCACCTGGAGGCTGCAGTCCCTGGCACGGCCTGAGAGCAGGGCCAAGAGCCAGCTGATCGTCCCCGTTATCCTTCCTGGGGCCCCAGCCCGCAGACCAGCAGCCCCTCCTGCTGAGGTCCCAGGGCGCCAGGCTCTGGTGGGGGTCCATACCATCCCCCTGCTAAGGCCACCTGGCCAGTGACTGCCTTGCAGCCTTGAGTGGAGGGGCAGGTCCCCTGGGCCAGCCTCGTCCTGGCCCACAGACGCACCAAGGCAGAGAGAGAGACACCATGGGACATGGTCAAATCAATTTCAGCTCTAATCTGAGCGGTGGCCATGATAAGCTCAAGACTAATCATGTTTTACTAGCTCACAGTTCCCTGAGAGAGCAAATTTTCCGGAAAAATAAATCAATAAAAAGCCTCGGCGGCGTGTCCTGGGGATGGGAGACCTGTTCAAGCTAATGTTTATTCAATTTATTCAGAGAGCAGCCCTCGCAGAACCCCGAGCAGGCGGTGAGACTGCTAGTTAGCACCGGTTCTGATACTACACTTGATCTTAGCCAAAAGGCCGAGAAGCGATTAGCACCGGTTCTGAATGATTGAATCTGGAAAACCGGGAAAGACAATGCGGCAGGCTGCGATGACCAGAGGCGAGAACCCAACCCCCTCACCGCTGTTATCTGCGGGGGCTCCAGCTCTCATCTACCGGAAATGCACACTTCTGTTTACCTTTGGCACAAGGCCGTGGGCCCTGGCCGAATGTGTCGCTGGCCTTTGCCATCTTGAGGTAAAGACCCTGCTGGTAACCATCCTGGTCTCTGTGTTGGATGCTCCATTTCGGGGAGTGGGAAGACTCCTCCTCCCCCGCCGTCCTCCCACTGCCAAGGGTGGCTTATTGAGAGGCGATGCCCTCACCTTGAGGTCCGGGATCCCGTAGCCCTTCTTGAGGGTGATCTGGAACACGTCCAGGGCGCTGATGTACGCGGCCAGGCGGGAGAGGCTCTGCTTGCCGCTGCCGCCCACCCCCACCAGTAGGGCGTTGCCCCGCGGGGACTCCAGGATGCGGTTGATCCTGCAGATGTGGGCCACCGCGTCCTCGAACAGTACCTGAGAAGAGGCCGGGCCGGAAAGACCCCAGGCGTCTCACCAGCGGGGCGTGCCTCCCTCGCTCGTCCCCCGGCCCCACTGCTGCCCGCTTGAGCTCCGGGCTCACCAGGTTCATGACTGCGTTGACCTCGTTGTAACTGTCCAGGACTTCCACCAGGAGCTTGTTCAGCGGAGCCAGGTCGGTCACCGGCAGGTATTTGGGGTCTCCGATCCCGTGAGCAAAGTGGCAGAAGATGTTTGGTTTGGCAAATAGGAGCTCATCACCGAGATCCTAGATGTCGGTTGCGGGGAGACACTGCTCTAGTCGCTACCACGGGCCCATGGAGCCCAAGCAGCAGCCCCGGCATCTGGCCCAATGGCCTCAGGAGGCCAGGCCATGTCTGCTGGGGCCCACACTGATGCTGCCAGGGGCCCTGAAAACTGCTGGGCAAAAGCCCCTGGTCTGTGTCCCACTGGGAATGAACCAACTGTCCAGAAAAACGATTCTACCATGCAAACCCCGGACCCACCAGTGGAGTGTGTCACCCCGAGCAGAGCTATCTCTGCCCGGCGGCTGGAGGGAGAGGTCTTCACCTCCTGACCTGCCAAGAGCGCCTCGCCACCTTGCTTGGGCCAAACCCACGTGGCAGAGGCATCTCGTGGGACCCCACGCGGTCCTTCCCATCCCCATCCCCATCCCAGGGCCCTGGCGAGGAGGCGAGGCTTGTTGGGGGCCCCTACTCTCTCTGCCCCTCAGAGCCTTCCTGGGCTCTGCTGGGCGGCCTGGTGGCCTGACTCACATCAAAGAACTTCTTGGTGGAAGCGATGGTGACCCTGCGCAGCGTGTCCTGGTCCTTCTCATCCACCATCTTGTCGCCGTACACGCGCTCAGCCTCGTGTAGCCAGAGGCGAACGAGGTCCAGCGGGAGCTTCAGGATCTCTGCGGAGGAGAACAGGAGCCCCTGCCCCAGAGGCGAGATGGTCAGCATCCTTAGGTGTGTTGGGAGGCAAGCCAGGTGCCGCACACGGGTCAAACGAGAAAGTGGCTGCTTTCCCAGGAAGTGATCCGGTAGAGTGGTACAGTAGCCACTCCGGGCCCAGGAAACGAGAGACTGCCAAGGCCACCAGTCCTGGAGGCTGAAGGGGGTGTCTGCGGCCTGAGAGACGGTGGGGGGGATTCTCCTCACCAGACAGGGTCAAGGGCTGCCCCCTCTAATGGGGTGGACGGTGGAGAAAGGGACAAGGGGTCTGATCAGGCACGGACCGACCATGGGAGGCCTCGAAGCGGCCATCAAGCTCAAGATCTGCAGCCAGCCTGCCTGGCCTGGCCTAGCTCAGCTCTTTGCAACCAAGTGACCTGGCAAGTTCAATGGGTGCCTATTTTCCAGGCCCCTGTCCTGGGCTCTGGGAGTGCAGTGATGACGGGACAGACTCTGCCTTCATGGAGCTCCCCTTGAAGCGGGGAGACAGAACCAGACAAAGTCACAAGGTAATGTGACTTGTGATGTGTGCATGGGGACAGTGGGACAGGGTGTGTGGGGAGGAGGAGGAGGGGCCTCTCTGGGGCATGATATTTGAGCTGACACTTGAGATGGGAGGAGATGGGTATGACTTAACCTCCCTGAGCCTTGGACTCCCCATCTGCAAAAATGGGGATATCTGAGCACTATGTGTTGTTTGGAGGAGGAAATGGGGATGTAAGTGGCCAAACCCAGTGGCTGGTTCAGTCCATCCATAAGAGGAAACATCACCACCACCATCATCACATCGCCACCACTATCACCATTACTACCATTATCATCGTCATCACCACAACTCCCACCATTGTCATCACCCCTATCATTATCACCAGCACCACCATAATCACTATCAGCATGGTCACCATCAGCATCAGTACCACCATCACCATCAGCACTATCACCATAGTTACCATCATCACCATCATTACTATCGGCATGGTCACCATCAGCACCACCATCATCATCACTATCACCATAGTTACCATTCTCACCATCATTACTACCACCATGGTCACCACCCTCATCATCATCTGTCATAACCATCATCACATCATATCCCCCTCCATCACTGTCATCCATCCATAGGTCACTTTGCTTTCTCTCTCGAGAATGGCAGAGGAGGAGAGCATCCGTGGATCAGGCATTGGCCATAAGGTGGCATTACATAGCACTAAAAGAGCAGTACCTGGAAAATATTGGAGAGGTCCCTGAGGTTGAACACATAATGAAACTTAATGGCCGTGGGAAGAAACGTTGATGTCACTTTCTGGTGCAGGGCTGTTCCAGGAAAAAGACACATCGATTCTTGTGCACTCTTAATGGCCTCAGGAAGTGCAAAGCTTAAGCTATAGTTTCTAAAGCAAATGGACTGTGAGATGGTGACAATTTAAGTAAGAAATCTGCAGGGGGAGGGATTCTGCTGCTCTGCTCATGTGTCAATCATTGCTGTATAAAGAATTTCCTATCCTCCACCTCCCCTCTCGAGCAATTGGATCTCATAATATTGTCTGTAGAAATACAGCGTCATTGAAAAAAAATATTGATTTGAAAGTATAAATAAAATATTTAGCAGGGGAAAGTATGAAGCCGCCGTTGGCCCCGTAATGCAGTGGGTCTTACGGACAGGAGAGGGGGCGAGGCTGGACGGTTTACCCAGGGCGGAGGCCACCAGGTGGCTGCTCATCCTCTGGACCACAAGGGGCGCCGAGCGGTAGGACAGGTGCTGGGTCAGGATGGTGCTGTAGATGCTCATGAGGGCCTCCTGGCCTGGGAAGCTCACCGCAAACACGCAGAAGTGGCGCTGCCCGGGACAAGCAGAAACCCTTGTCAGGCCGTGCGTGGGGACCAGCCTGGGGCAGGGCCGCCTTCCTGGGGAGCAGACTCTGTCCTCATCTCCTGGTGTCTTGTGGGCATGGTCAGAATGGACAGGTTCCCTCAAGCCTTGCGTGTGGTGATACCCCCCCTTAGATGTTGATTCCATCTCAAAACAGCCAAATTCATGTCCCACTCTTCAGAAACAACTTGGCAGAGGCCAAAGAGTGTTTCAGAGCACAACCTGGGTTTAAATTTCAGATCTCCATCTGTTCAAGGTAATTCAGGGTGAAGTCCTGCCTGGATTATAGACACAGTACAGGATTATCCTGTTAAGTCTAAATTTCACACAGAAATTTTTTTTTTAGTACAAATACATCTCAAACATCGAATGGGACATGATTTGCTGTTTATCTGAAATTCAGATTTGCCCAGGCATCTGTATTTTCATTTGCTAAATCTGGCAGCTTCTCGATGTCCCCATGAATGTGCTGACATCCGAAGGGCTGGGGCGTGCTCCAAGGAAAGCCAGCCTGCCGCCCCCACCCCCCACCCCATATGCATGCTATCGTCCTCATCAGACAAATGAGCTCTGGACTCGTGCAGCCGCCCAAGACAAGTCCAGTTTCTGCCCACCTGAAGTCTGGGGTCGATGGTGAAGGACCCGGAAGTGGGGTTCATGCACGCCACGTACTGACAGTTGTGCACGTCCTTCAGTGTCAGCTTCTGCCGGTCGTACCTGCATGGGGGAGGCCAGCATCAAGCCCTGCCGCTGGTGCCCAGGAGCCACCCCCTGCTCCCCACCCACCCCGGTCATGCCTTGCATACAGTTAAAAAAACAACAAGAAAAAACCCTGGGACTTCCCTGCTGGTCCAGTGGCTAATACTCTGTACCCTCAGGGCAGGAGACCCAGGTTCAACTCCTGGTCAGGGAACTAGATCCCACATGCTGCAACTAAAGATCCTACATGCCACAACAAAGATCAAGTATCACGCATGTGGTAACCAAGGCCCGGTGCAGCTAAATAAATGAACGAATGTGAAGGTGAAGTTGCTCAGTCGTGTCCAACTCTTCGCGACCCCATGGATTGCAGCCTTAGAGGCTCCTCTGTCCATGGGATTTTCCAGGTGAGAATACTGGAGTGGGTTGCCATTTCCTTCTCCAGGAGACCTTCCCGACCCAGGCATTGAACAGGGGCCTCCTGCAATGTAGGCAGATGCTTTCCCATCTGAGCCACCATAAACCTCAATAAATATCGATTATATGTGAAATGGCCAACTGTACTTCATGCTCTAGAGAAAAAAAATAATTTTTTTTTTCTNGGCTCGGCCTCGACCTCACCCTGCAGCATGGCCGAGGTCGTGTAGAAGTTGAAGGGCACGGCCTGCACCAGGTAATCGTCTGTGCTCAGGCTGTCCAGCTTGTCCCCCATCAGCACCGACTTGCCCGTCCCCGCGTTCCCCACCAGCATGACCGGCCACGACTTCTCCATGAGCAGGTCCATGAAGTAGCGGATACGGATGGTTTCCGTGGTGTGCACCAGTGAGGCCTGGAGGGGGCGGGGGATGGGGAGATGTCGGGGGAGGAGCCATGATCTCAGATAGACCCGGGCCTCCAGGTCCCACCTCCGGACAAACTTGCAGACCTGGGCAGCGTGTTAGATCCCCGGTCTTACAGAAAAGGTCCTACTGATGGAGACTGTTTGTGACTGGACATCCCGACGAGAAGCGTGGGGTGGGACTCTGAGTCCCGCTCCTCAATCGTCATCCATCGTCACTGTTCTGGGCCGTTTACCTGCAGCGGGACGTCAGGGTCCAGCTCGAAGGCGGGCACTTTGTCCGTCCATGGCAGGAACTTCTTGGTGTCGGGGTCTATGTAGTAGTCGAAGACCGTCCCCTGTGAGGGGAACTTGATCGTCTTAAATTCATTGATCCACCACCTGCTGAACTCGACCCGATAATCTACAAGCTGTTGGGAGACAAAAATGAAGCTCAGAAAGGGCCCTGCTGGGAGGGACACTGGGAGACCGCACCTGGGTGGCTGAACGCCCGCCGCGGCCGGCTGCTCACCTGGTCCTGGAACATGGCCCCCCCGAAGGCCCAGAAGCAGGCGAACACGAAGTAGAGCTCGTAGAGCTCCTTGGCGGAGTCGGGCGGCGCGTTCTTCTCGGTGAGGAGGCACTCGAGCAGGTAGAGGATCATCTGGATGATGGTGATCTCGGGCACTGGCGTGATCTTCTTAAACCCGAAGCGGAGCTTGTCCAGGCAGGTGGGCAGGTACTTGTCGAAAAGGATCATCAGGTTGGCCTTCTCTGACTGCACCTTGCGCCTCTCGATCCAGCTGCTCACCACCCTGGGGAAGGCGGGGAGGTGCTGAAGGACTGGGCTGCCGGATGGGGTCCCTCTGGTGACCCTCCCCTTGCTGATCGCTTCCATGTGATTCTGGTGCTCCTGCCTGGTGATGGGGCCAGTCCTGAGACCTTCAGAGGATCTGATGAGGGTGAGCTCTTTCCCTGGGATGCTAGCTGTGGGGTGCTGTCCACCTAGAACAACTAGGAACTGTGCTTCCTATCCTCAAATGTGGCTAACACTGAGAAGAGTAGAGCTGCATATAGGAGAAGGGAAGAAAGGTTTCATAACATCGTCTGGGGGACAGACAGGGAGGGGTGGGAAGGGAAGAAAAGGAGAGGAGCAAGGACATCTCATGGCATTCTCTGGACTCCCGGATCCAGCCAGGCCTGAAGCATGGTTGGTGAATTGAGCCAATTGATGCTTTTAGTGGAAGAGTCCAAACCAATACAATAGGCGTTCCTGGGGAGCTGTGTTGCCTGGAGTGGGTTGCACAGAGGTGGTCCACCACGGCCGTGAGGAGTGTGGATTCTAGAGTCCGAGCACCCGACTTGAATGGGCTCTAGTGTGGCCAGTGATGGCCTCGGGTCAGTTACTCAACATGTCTGTGTCTCAGGTTTCTCATCCGTAAATGGGAGTGATGATGATAACTCCCATTTGGAAGGACTACCTGAGTTGATATTTTTAAAGCTCAGAGGACGGTGCCTGGTCCACAGTAAGTGCTAAATAGGGGCGCCTGCTAAAAGCATAAAGAGCACTGGTGGATGAGCTCAGTGAGCTGTCATTTCCAGGATGCCCAGAGCGTAAGCAGGAAGCTCATGTTACCCAATGCAGCTCGCCTGCCCTCTGCAGACATGCCTTTCTGCAAATGAGTGCGTGTTCTGGAAGCTCTGAGTCTCACTACACCCCCAGCAGATCAGGGAACCAAGAGTTCAGAACCTCTGCCCCGTTGCCCCTGGGTTAACTAGGTAACAGCAGATTTTCAAACACTTGACAAGCAAACGCAGGCAAGCAAACACGTGCAGTTAAGAGCTGAGTTCCAGGTACACTAGGTCTTCAGAACGGAGACCAATGTGCAAATCTATACACACACTGCTGCATTTGCCTTCTATCTTGCAGGCGGATATATAAAATTTAAAATTTTGCCTTGTTAGAGACATTTAGTGCATGCAAATGTATGTGCTGGCTTTGATCTGAAAAGCCAGTTCAGATATATAACTCCGAGAGGACGAGAGGCTCCCCCGTGGGCACCTGTCCTGTCCCCGGAGGCCATGGGACCCTTGGACTATGCTTCACATCCCCCTCTGGGATGGCTGCTCCTGCAGGAGTCCTGCTCTTCCTCTGGGGCTAGGGGAGCCCCGAGACGGCTCTCAGACTCCCCACTTCTCTCCAGCAAAACCCAGATTTCCTCCTGGTCCCCAAGGAGCCACTCAGAGTCTCCTGGTCATTCCTCTGGAGCCCCAAGGACCACTCCCGGCCAAAGGGCGTGTCTCCTTCAGCCCACTCAGTGCCCCTCCTCTGCCCACCCCTGCTGATCTTCTGGCTCTTTCCTCCCACCCCCACTGGGTGTCCCCCTGAGTGCCCCTCGGCCCCGACATCTTCTTCCTGTCCCCCTGCATCTTAGCGGCTCCTGCTCGGGTTTTGTTCCAGTTCTCTTGCCTTGTCAGCTGCCCACCCTGGAAAAACCCAGATGTGCGACATGGGCAGAGTTGGCCGGGCCCTTCAGAAGACATGTCCCCCTGCAGTCTGCAGACGCGGCCTTATTTGGGAAAAGGGTGCTTGCAGATGAAATCAAAGTAAGGATCTCGAGACTGAAACATCTTGGATGAGGGTGGGCCCTGATCCACTGCCTGGTCCTTATAAGAAGGGAAATTATGACACACAGAGGCGTGTGCAGAGGTGGGGGGCCACCTGAGATTCAGAAAGTGGCCACATCCGTCTACAAGGCCAGGACTGCCGGCAACACCAGAAGCTGGGGGAGAGCCCTGGAAGAGGTCCCCCTTTAGAGCTTTGAGAAGGAACCAACCCTCCCAACACCTGGATTCAGATCTCTGCCCTCCAGAAGCAGAAGAGGATAACCCTCCATTGTCTGAAGCTGCCTGGTTTGTGGTCCTTGGTCATGGCGGCCACAGGACACCAGCAAAGTGGGTGGACAGGTGTTGCTGAAGAAGACGGCACAGTGGTGCTGGGTCTTGGCAGCCCCCAGGGCCCTGTGGGTCAGGCCAGCTCCAGTCTCGCCCCTGCCAGGCGCTCGAGCACCCTTCCAGCCCTGGCCTCGCTATGTCGGGAGCTGGGCTCACTTCCTGCCACAGAGACACCCGGAGCACGAACTCTCTGCCTCCCCCACTCGCCCCACTCGCCTGCACCTGGAAACCCTCCTGCCTCTGCTCCGCAGCGCTCATCTTCCCCCAGCTGCTTCGAGATTCATTTCCAGAAAGACCCTCCTTTCGAGGGCCTCCTCCCAGTTCCTGCTCCTCGAATTGCCACCTGGCTCCTGGCTCTGTCATGCCAGGAAGCTGTTCTGCCTGAGCTAGCGGTCAGCTCCCAGCTACCAAAATCCAGCGGCAACATTCTGTCCTTGGCTCCTTGATGCTCCGGACACGACCCTCTTGACCCCACCTCCCCTCTTGAAGCTTCTTCCTCCCTGGGTGTGCGGGAGGCCACGTTCGGTTTCCTGCCGCCTGTTCCTTCTGGAAGTGCTTCCTCCCCACATGTCTTGCCACGCTCCACGTGTCTCCTGGAGACCCAGTTTCCCCAGCATGGAGCAGCCTAGGGTCAGACACACAGCAGGGGCACAGAAAGCTCTGGATGAAGGGATGGATGGACGAATGGCTGAATGAACGCAGCCACGGTGTTTCTCCTGAGCCTGTCAGTCCTGGAACGCTGCACCGGGGTTTCTACTTAAGACCATGCAGGATATCCTGGCATGTAAATTACTAGCCGTGGGTCCAAACACAAAAACGTACCTCTCCAAGATCAATGCCAAGCCTTCCATTTCTTAGGATTTCAAACGTTTCTCACATCCACCCCTCCTCCCAATCCCCAGTGGCCACCTGTCGTCTGCTGGCATGAACTCTTCCCTTCACATCAGAGAGGGCCCCTGTGCCAAGCCCCTAGGCTGGTCCTTCCTGCCAAGAGCATCTCCATGCTTCACGGTCCATCCGCCAACACCAGACTGCTGCCCGTCCCTGGGAACCTCACACTCTCGCTCTGATGCACCTTAAATGTTGGTTCTCACCTGAAATGCTTTCCACTCGGAAAGCTCCTTCTCCTCTGGGGGGTCAGCCCAAACTCCAGCTCCCCCAGGAAGACTTCCTGTCTCCATGACAGGCCCTGCCCCTCCCTCTGCACTTGCTTCATCAGCCGCCGTGATGCATGTCATCACTTACTCACATGCCTCACCTGCATCCTTGCATTGTAGTGACCGTGCTGCCCGGGGAGGGCCTGGCACAGGGCGCTTACCGTATGAATGAATGAGTGAATGAATGGGTGCCCAGGCAACACTGAAATGCCACCACCGTTCCCTTTTTCTCTGCATAGTTTGGAGCAGAACAAAAGCCCAACTCACGGGTTCCAGCCTAGATCGGCAGGGTTGATGTACAGAATGCCGGCTCTGGAGACGGTGGCCGGCGTGGCCGTCCTCAGGTGGCTGATCTCAAACACCAGCCGCATGGTGCGGTTCAGGGGGATCCGCTCGTTGCTGGCCAGGGTGAGGACCTGGCAAGGGACACAGGCCTGTGGGTTTCAGCTGCAAAAGCACCCTTGTCCTGAGGCTGTCACAGGTCCCATCTCAGAAGAGAGGGCAGGTCAGAGACACCCTCTGCACCCCTGCGGGCCACCAACCACTTCCCTAACCCAACATCTCTCTGCCATCCTAGATGTCAGTACCCCCTCCACCCCTCCCACCCCAGGACCGTGGAGAGCACCCAGACATGTGTGGACCATGTAGGACTTCACTCGGGGGTTAAATCTGCCTCATCAAACCACGACTCCTTCTCCCTTTCCTGGGGAACGCTGGGGTTCCCTCCTCCACCTGATTGAGAATCACTTTAAGCTGCTTCTAGACGATTCTCAACGTCGTCTGCACCTTCCAAGATATTAGCTTCCCCTCCCATGTGGTGCCACACGCCACGTGGTCAGGTAGGAACGCTCCCCATGCTGTGGCCAAAGAACCTGAGCTGGCCTGGGCCCCATGGGCCTGCGTCCTGCAAGGACCGTGCCTCAGGAGGGGGCTTCCCCCGGCCACTCGCCATCTATAACCCTTTGTGCAGAGCTCCAGACAGGCCCCTCCTCTGTCCCCATCCACAGCGGGTCCCATGTGCTGAGAGGCAGGCGAGGTGTGTGCTGAGTCCCATGCGCCCCCCTGCCCCTCATCACTCTGGTTCTGGGGGGTCAGCTCTGGGGTTGCGGGCCCCTCGTACCTTGTTGTCGTCCATGACGGTGTTGAGGGACTCAATCCACATGGGGTCTATGTCCCCGTCCAGCACGATCCACTTGGGGCCGTCATGTGTGATGTTGGCCAGGTCCCGCATGATGGTGGAGAAGAGGCCTGCAGGTGGCGGGGCTGATCAGGCCTGGCTCCGGATGGCCCCCCATGGGGGCGCTGACAGCATCCCGGGCACTCCCTGGGCCGAGACCCAGCCCACCCCCTCCTGCGCCCGCCGGGCTGGCCCTGGCCTCTCTCTCAGAGGCTCACTTCCTGCTCTTCTCCTGACCCCAAGGCCCCTTCTCCTTGATGCCTCTGCCCCTGACCCTGCCCCACAACACCCCCCGCAAGTCTGGGCCAGTCCTCAGATTCGACAGCCCCACGTGGAGTGCCACGACCCCAAGCAGCACCCCATCCCTTCTCCCCCACTCCCCACCTTCCTTCCTTCTCTCAGTAAAGGTTTGCTGAGCACTCAAGTCTCAGACTCAGAGCAGGGGGCTTGGGGACAGTCACAGCCCCCTGCCCACCCCACAGAACTTGCATTGCAGTGGAGGGGGGCGGTGGAAACACAAGACACACACACAGAAACAGATACAGCGTCACAAAGAGAAAACAGGGTGAGCGGCGGGGAAGACTGGAGCAGAGCCCCACCCCGGCCCGGGAAGGGGCGCATGGAAGTCAGGAAGGGTGGGGGACCCCCAGTAAGCAGGGCGCCCCTCCCTCCATGCCCCTTCTTCCCTCTGGGCCACCCTTGGGGCCCACTTTGTCTCCTCCAGCCCCTCACTTGTCCTTTCTCCAATGGCCTGGGTTCTTCTTATAAAGCACAGACCTCATCAAGGCCCTCCCCCAGGGAAAGACCGTTCCCAACCCCCGAGGCTCCGGCCTGTGTTTCTGGGCTCTCCCCCGCCCCGAGGACCACGGTGTGGTGGCCCCGCTTGGGGCCGCTGTGCCGATGCTCACGTGTTGGAGGCTTCCCCGGCTCCCCCCGCGGGGTGGAGTGAGCTGGCTCCCCTCTGTGATCTCCCTGCTCTCCGAAAGTGCCACCAGGATGCCCCGTGTGCATGTGCGGGCCCCTCCCCCAACCGGACCGCTAAGGGTCTCCCTCGGGGGCCCGGCCACGCGTTCACTGCCTGGAGCCCAGCGGAGCAGCCACAATCAAATCAGCCCGTCACGGACCCAGGCCTAGGACGCCCTTGACCCTGTGGGGACCCTGCTCTGTTACCATCTTTCCACTCCCTGGTTGCCGGGTTGATGATGCCAAAGAGTTCGTCACAGGTGACAGCCTTGGGGTCCAGGTCCACGGCCACCGGCTTCCTCTTCAGGTTCTGGTAGGTCTTGTTCAGAGACCTAAGCACCTGCAGCGAGGGGGCGCCGCTCACACGGGGCTCGGGGGCCGCACCCCATGCCCACACCCTCGTGTGAGCTCATGGGCCTTTGAAGACCCAGGGGCAGAAGCCCAGCCGTGGGCCCGCTTTGCCCTGGAGACCCGCAGGTGTGTTTGCGTCCCCCAGACAACACCCAGGGCATGCCAGGCACCCTGAGATCTCTCCTCTCTGTGCACAGTGGACGGCTGCTCTGCCAGGTCCCAGGAAAATAGGTATTGTTCCTGACAATACAAGTAACATGTGCTCGCTGGAAAAAATTAAGGGAAGAAAGCTACCTGCAGTTCTTCCACTGAGAGAAAAGTTTTTAAGGACATTTGAGGATGTTCACGTGGATACGCGTGTAGATACACACACATACATACATTCCTTTTTAGAGAACTGGTTCATACAGTTTCTGCTTTTTAAAAATAACTTGAAGTGAGCATCCCTCATGTTACATAGTCTTTGGAGATGATCTTTAATAATAGCATAATTGTCCATCCTGTGGGCGTCTAGCTGAGCACTTGACTGCTTTAGAATTTTCCGATGTTATAGGTATCAGTAATGTTGACTGCCACCCTCTGCTTCCCACCGTGCCCCAGGCAATGGGAGGGGGCAGGAAGGTAGGCATTGGCTGCAGACAGGTGGGTGACAAGTATCAAGGGGGAGGGAACAGAAGGAGAGGAGACCTGGGAGAAGGGTCTCAAGGGCGGACCAGGGTCCCCAGCCACTCTTTGCCGCCTCCTCTGTCCCTGTGGCCCGTCACAGCTGCCTTCCTAGCCCATGACACTCTTCGGGGGCCCGGAATGCCCTGGGCCGGGTTCCCAGGCCGGCGCGCACCTGGGACTTGCCGCTGCCCGCGTTCCCGATGACGAACACCGAGTGCCGGACTTGCAGCAGCTCCTCCAGCTGCACCACCTTCAGCACGAAGCTGTCCTCCGCCTGCAGCTTGAGCTCCACAATGCTCTGCTTGATGACCTGGGGGGGCGGGCAGGACAGGGTGCTGGGCCCGCCATGCAGGACCGGGGAGCCCCCTGCCCAGGGAAGAGATCAGAAGGGAACAGTGGCCCTGCCTGTAGGGGAGTCCAGATGCTCTGCCGTGGGTGCTACTGAGACCCCCATGTGGGGGATGGGTTTGTCCGAAGCCCCACTGCTTCCTCTCCTGAACCTCCAGTATTGAGAAAGGAGCTAGAGAGGCAGCCTGTGGCCTCGGGACATTGCTCAGGGCGGAGGAAGACACGCACATGTGGCCATAGCCTGCTGGCAGACACAGCCATCACCCCCATGTGATACCTGCCACTTAGGCGGTGGAAAGTGATGTCCTCGGCAGTAAGGAGGCCTAGGTGGGACCCTGGCTGTACCCACCTTCTCAAAATTCAGGTCCCGTTTCCGAGGCACATCCAGGGCGGGGAAGAGGTCCCCGATGAGCCCCATGAACACGGGCAGGTCGTCAGTGACGATCTTGGGGATGTTGAAGTCCCTGAGCGCCCGCATCAGCACCTGGTCCTCTGCCCGGCTGGGGTCGCCCCTCTTCAGGGAGCCGGCCACCACCAGCACAGACTTGATGGCCCGCAGACCCCAGTCATAGTGATCCTGCGGGCGGGCGGGCAGGCGTGAGCGTGCCGCCTGACGTGCTGGGACCAAGGCTGGGAGGCTTCGCCAGGCAGTCTGGGAGGCAGCCCAGGCCACCTGCATTTGTCATCCCTCCCGCCCCCGGCTCCATGGGTCCTCAGAGTCACACACCTGCTTTGACAGCAGCTCTTTGCACAAGGTGTAGAGTGTGATGAACTTCCTGGCCAGAAGGCGGGCCTCCAGAAAGCCCTCTGCCACCAGCATGATCTCGCATATCAGTTCAAAGTCGGGGACCACCATGGCGCAGGGCCTGAGGGGTCCGGGGGGGGTCTGTCTTGGTTTCTTCCCCTCCTCCATCCCTGCCCCCCATTGCCTAGGTGCACACCTCACTGTCCAGGGGACCACAGCCTTACTGGCAGAGACTGTAGGTACAGAGCAGGTTCCCAGACCCCCTCCCCTCCCCTCGGCTCGGCGCCCCTCCGACCTCTCCTTGTTGCTCCCTAGCTCTGCACGGGGGTGTCCCAGGCCCTGCCCCCCTTCACTCAGCTCCTCTGAGGGTCACCTGAGCCCCGTCTCTGCCCATCACCCTGTACCGGTCGGCTGTGTGCGTGCTAGGGCTCTCAGTCCTGTCCGACTCTGTGTGACCGCGTGGACTGTAGCCCATCAGGCTCCAAAGTCCATAGGATTCCACGGCAAGAATACTGGAGTGGGTTGCCCTTTCCTTCTCCAGAGGATCTTCCCGATGCGTGGGCAGGTGATGCCTAAAACGGGACCTTCCTCTCCACCCCCCCGGGAGTCAGAGAGCGGGAAGACACCGTCTGCTCCTTACAGAGGTCCAGGCCGGCTAGCCCCTCTCACCCAGGCCTTGTCTCCCATCCCCGCCTCCCCTAGCCCCCTCTGGGTTGACGCGGTCCTCCACAGACACTCTCCTGGGCCTTGCCCCTCGCCCCGCACCTGAACAAGGCCTTTAAGTTCTCCGGCAGCTCCGTGCGCCCGGCGTACCCCGGGTTCATGGTGATGAAGATGCCGACGGTGGGGATGAGACTTATCATCTCTCCCAGGAAATTAAACGTTTTCTTCTTGGCCCGAATCGCATCTTGGACACATTTTACCTAAATGGTTGGTACATAGATGGGTTCATGCGAGAACAGCTAACTTCGGTGGGCTGGATGGAGCTTCGTTTGCGCTAAGGCATGTGAGTGGCTGTGGATTTGCAGAGGACTGCCCTGATTTTTTTTTTTAAATTAAACTTTGATACAATTGTAGATTCACGTACAGTTGTAATAAAGAACCGAGGGGATCCCGTGGGTCCCTCCCCAGCGCCCCCCAGTGGTGACCGCGGTGCAGCATCACTACCAGGACAGCGACGTGGAAATGACAGACATTTCCGTGACCTCGGGTGGAGTCGTCCTTGACAGCCACCCCCACCGCTCTGCCACCCCACCTTCCCCTGTCCCCCTGCAACCAGTCATCTGCTCCCATTTCTGTGATTCTGTCTTTCATGAACTTTAGTAAGTAGGATGGTACAGTATGTCATCTCAGACGGGCTTTGGTCACTCAGCAAGATGCCCTGGGGGTTCTTCCAGGTCGAGGCTAATCCTCGTTATCGATTGACGTTCTGCCCCCTAGCCGCTTTGTGTGTCTGTTCCTGCTCCAGCAGTGACCCGTGGGAGGGCTGATTGGTAGCCATCCCCACATCAGATACCCAGCATCAGGTGAAATCTGAATTCTGGGACCATTAGCCTTGACCCTTGGCGCCCGCTGAGCAGCCGCAAACCTCCAAGCCACCACTGGAGGGCGCCCTGTACCCACGATTAAGACCTGCTCCGAGTCTGGGGCTCCCAAGCAAAGCCCCGGACTTTCCCGCCAGACTGGTCTGCGGCGAAAGCAGCTCACACCCCAACAGGGCGGGCCTTGGAGATGGGACCCCTCCTCCCCACCACGTGGAGCCTCTCCTGATGTTCTGTTCCAGTTCTTGCTCCTCCACTTCAGTTCACAGAGCTCCGCATAATTTTCCTGGGGTCTGTGCACTGACTTTGGAGATGGGGGGGGGGGGGTTCCCCAAGGCAGCAGTCAGCACTGCCAGTGAGTCCAGGGGGTGCTGACTGCTCCCATCTTCCCTTTGCCTTACTGGCCTCTGGTCCCAGGGCGTGGGGATACTTCTGTGTCTACATTAAGAGGGAAACAGCAGCGGAGGAGGCCAGCTACCCACACTCACCCCTAATCCTGCCAGCAAACCCATTCTAGAGATTGGACAATGGAGGCGTGGAGAGTTTAAGTAGAGCCCAGAACTAGGCAGCCTTGCACTCCATCATGGGTATTCCCCAAATACCTGGGCACACTTCCTCCTTTCCTCCCAGGACTCTTGTCTGATTGACAAGCTCCTATGCATTCTTCAATGCCCAGCTCCACTGCGAACTGAAACAAAGCCCTCTGTCCTAGACCCTAGGCAAAACTGATGATCCCCTCCGTCTGTATTCAGTGACAAGTGTGCGGCTGTGTCTGACCCTTCTGTGTGCCCCAGCAGACTGCGGGCCCCCGAAGGACAGGGCTGGGGTCCCGCTCACCTCTGTGCCACACCCCCACTCAGGCTGACCTGACCGTACCGGAATGCTGACGAGCCCCAAGGGGGGGGGGGGGGGGGGGGGGGCAGCGGGTTCCCCAAGGTGACCCAGAGGCCGCACGGAGGTCCTACCTGTACAGCGATCACAGACAAGACCTCCACGGAGATCCGATTAAACTCATCAAAGCAGCCCCAGGCTCCGGTCTGGGCCAGACCCTTGTAGATATTTCCGCAGGACTAGAAAAGGTGACAGGAGAGACGTGAGCATTGGAGAGTCCTGCCAGGGGCCTCCACTCACCCTGTCAGCTCCTGCCCAGGCTGGGGGTCAGGCTCGGGAACTTTGGGGCCCCTGGGAGGCCAGAGGCAGGTCATCCATTCCCCGGAAGAGTCAAAAGCGGGTTCCCCAAGGTGACCCAGAGGCCGCACGGAGGTCCTACCTGTACAGCGATCACAGACAAGACCTCCACGGAGATCCGATTAAACTCGTCAAAGCAGCCCCAGGCTCCGGTCTGGGCCAGGCCCTTGTAGATATTTCCGCAGGACTAGAAAAGGTGACAGGAGAGAAGTGAACATTGGAGAGTCCTGCCAGGGGCCTCCACTTGCCCTGTCAGCTCCTGCCCAGGCTGGGGGTCAGGCTCGGGAACTTTGGGGCCCCTGGGAGGCCAGAGGCAGGTCATCCATTCCCCGGAAGAGTCAACGCTACATGGGGCCAGGTGCCAGGAAGAGCCCAGATCCTCCCCGGGCTGAAGGCTTTGCCTAGACTCAGATAAGGCCGTTTGTGTAAAATTCGCCCTGGCATTTTCCACTAGCACACAGGGATGCAGCCTTCCGTCTAAGGTGGGGGGACAGACTCAGGCCCTGGAAGGATAAACGGGGTGATTCTTCTTATACACAGGATTCCTTCTAGGAGGATCCAACTACAGATTTCACTTCTCTGAAACCCAGGAGGTTGGTGTGGGCTGTGTCCTTGACAGTCAGAGGGGGCAGCTGTCCCCACCCTCAACCTCAAGATGGGGTCCCCTAGACTGTGGGGATCCCATGGGGATGGGGTAGGGCATGCTCATGACCTCAATGCCCCCAACCCTTCCCACCAGAGGCTGCTCTGACTTGACCTCCATGGTCTTCTTTTCTGGGCCCTTTAAGAACTGTGGCTGTGCCGCAAAGCCTCTAGTGACTGCAGGGACCTGGCCCCTCCCCAGGGCCCAACCCCACCCCCTGCCCCCTCGAAGGCTCTCACTCTCTGGTGCCCCCAGTTGCTGGGACAAGCTTGGGGTGTAGGTTGGGAGGGGTTGCCTCCCCAGCGGGGCAGAATGTTTGGGGGCGGGTCTTGTCCACCCTGGGATCCTCTACCAGACATCCTGGTCATGCCCAAGAGGCCAGCCAGCAGTGTCCACACGTCCAGTGGTCACTTGGGGAGTGCTGGCTGCGGCCGCCTGGGGGAGGGGAATTCAGGGCCCCCCGGACATGGGGTATGTACCTTGTAGTCCATCTGCTCGGAGCAGTTGAAGACGTAGACCATGGTGCCCAGGGCTCTGCCCAGGTCCTTGGTCGTCTCTGTCTTGCCGGTCCCGGCGGGGCCAGCGGGAGCTCCGCCCATGATCAGATGCAGGGACTGGGTCAAGGTTATGTAGCATCTGTAAGGGACCTCCAGTCACCCTGTGGGCATCAACCCCAGGGCTGCCCACTTTCTTTTACCGTGGGTCAGTGACACGCCCTGAGCCCCAAGCTGGCACCAAAGGGAGCTCAAAGGGGCAAAGGAGGACTTGTGATGTCACCAAGGAGCAGACACCACGTGAGGGCTGAACCAGCCACGGCATCGGGTGGGGGGCGGGCACTGCCCGTCCAATGTAACAGCCGCATCACAGGTGCTGAGGATCTGCCCCGAGCAGCCGCTGGTCTGAGTGCTTTTTGGTGTTACATGATTCACTTGACCCTCAACAAGCTGCCGAGGATTTATAAAACATCGTCCCCATTTTGCAGGCCCTCAGAGAGGCTAAGCAACACCCCTAAGGCCACACAGCCGAGGTCAGAGTGAGGGAATTAAGGTCTGGGCTCCCAAGGCTGGGTGCCTGGCAGGTGGCAGAACTGAACCTGAATGCAGGTCCCCCAGTCCAAAAGCCCAGATCAGTCAGCCTCAGTAGGGGACATTTGGGTCTGATGGTGCAAGGATGCGTGGGGAAGGCCAGAGAAAGGGTGTGATTCCCTCCCCTGCGTTGTTCACTGCCAGGCGGGGAGGCGGCAGGGGTCCTCACCTGTCCGTGAGTGGGGTGATGACCAGCCGTGGCGTGTTGCCCAGGTACTCATATGAGTACTGGATCTGGGCATCGCAGATGTTGGCAAAGCAGTGCTTCTTCTCCTCGTCCCAGCGGTGCCGCAGCTGGGACTGCCAGGTGAAGGCCTGGGAGCTCTCCACCTGCGGGGGGAGCAGGCTGCCTTGCCTCCAAGCGGTCCCTGACCCCAGGGTGCTCCCAGCTCCCCGCTCCTCCTGAGGAGCCCCCGTCAAGCCTAACACCACCTCCCCACTGCTGAAGCAGGGGCACTTCTGATTGGGCTGCTCGTCAGTGGCTTACTAGGGGCGAGACTGAGGGGTGAAGGAGGGGGTAGCGCTGCCTGGAGCAGTGTCATCCCCCGCCCCACTGAGGAAGCAGCAGTGACTGGGGCGGGGGATGTGGGCTGCAGTCCTGAGCCCCAGGCTCCCACCCCAGTTCCTGGCCCCTCCCGGCACCCATGCCTTGGCGGTGATCATCTTGGCCACCACATCCCGGGCGTGGACGTCGATGGTACAGATGGTCATGATCTTCATTCTGTCTCCCGCGTTGAGGTTTCCAATGAGCAGGGTGATGAGTGCGTTCAGCTGGCTGATCTGTGGGAGCAGATATGCCTCCCTTAGACACGGCTCCAGCGGTGGCCACGGGCGGGTACCCCTGGGCACTCGGGAACTGCCCCTCCCCCATGGATTATCAAGGAGTCACTAAAAATGGTGTAGATGAAGATCTGATGCCGTGAAAGATGGCAGATAGTAAGTGAAAACAGGATTTTAAAGCCACTTGGATAGTTACATATTTTTGCCTGGGAATTGATTATATGTACACTAGAAGGTTAGCTAAGAATCTGTTGACAGGGTTATATCTTTCCTTTTAAACATTATTTTTGCTTTCTGAATTTTTAACCAGGAATCTCTCAAAAAATCAAATCGAAATAGAGAATTAAAGCCATGTATTTCTAAAGCGGTTACTCTTGGTCAGAACAACTGTTGCCGATATTTGGCTGCTTTTGACTCAGAGAAACGGCAGTGGCATAAGGGAGGACCTCACAGAGCAAGGTGCTTCGGATGGACATGGGGTGGGGGCCACACCTGCTTCTTGTTGTAATCTTTGATGGCATTTTCGTAGCCTTCCTCCAGCCTGGCAAACGCCAAGCCCACCTCGGTGGTCCACCAGATTTGGGTGCACGTGAGTGCGATCTGAAAACAGAGGTGGGGCCCCAGTACCCCGCCACGTGAGCACCTTTTTCTGTCCGATGGAAGAGTTCACACCAGTTAAGGCGGCTCTTGGCCACCAGACTGGGGCTACCCCAGGACAGGTGAGCCCCACCCACCCCTCCCTGCATCTCAGAGCTGCCCCGCCCACCCAGCTCGGACCTGGGCGGGGTAGTCAAAGATCCACTGCTCCCTCGGCTTCTCCTCGTAGGTCACCACGGCTTCGGGGATCTCGTGGCGGAGCGTGGCGCACATCCTGTCCAGCACGCGGTTCAGCCAGACCTCCACCTGGGGACGGAGCCATGGGGACCAGAGAGGGTGAGCACGTCTCATCTGAAAACTTGCTCTGGCGTTTACGAAATAAATTACCACTTGTCCTCATCCTTATCATCATCCCAGAGGGTAGAAATGCCCAGGTTTTCTGAGCAATAAGAATGCCCTGCTGGAAAAATATGTTCAGCAAGCCCAGCTGTACCTGCAAAACTAGTTGCATTGGGCGTTCATGTGCATACACTGTGTCTAAACACAGAAGGGAGAGGGAACGAGAGAAAAAGCTACAGAAGACGGTCTATGTCTGAGCCCACGAAGTGGTGCTGATATCCTGAGACAGGGATCGGTCCCCTGGGCCCTGCTGCCCCGTGTCCCAGGCAGATTCTGACCAGCAGAGCCCCACTTGTCCCCAAGTGCATTCTCTCAGGGTCTGAGATTGTCATGCAGACAAACTGGCTGATGAGCCTTGCGTGTATTTTGAAATACCAACCTGCAACTAACTGCCACCAGGGGGAAAATACCCGAATGGGATAATCAGGTTGGTTTTTCTTTTAAGCTATTGACAGCAGCACAGTGCAGGCAGAGCTCGCTGTCATTCAATGGTTATGTCTATAAGTGGTTAAGTGTGGGAAGCGTCTGAACAAACTGATGAATGGATCCTGCTGACCCTGTCCAGCCAGGTACTCCGAATTCAAGTTGTTGGAGCTTGAGTTTTCAATTTACCTCCAAATTACATTTTGCTTAGGCAGAATGTAAGAATTGATTTGGATGCTTGAATAATACTTGGGCAAAGAGATGGGGGAGAGGGCAGCCAGGAAGCTTGCTGTCAGCAGGAGAGAGCAGCCTCCTGGGCTGGGCTGCCCAGGGTAAGGGGAGCCCTCTGCTAAATATGGAAGCTGTAAAGCCCATCGTGCTGAACAGGGATGAGAACTTGGCAGGTGTGCCTGGCACCCTCCAAAGTGGTCCCCTTGGCATTAACAATAATAAAATGATAAAGATTTAAGGGCATTAATAAATCTGTTCTCTCCCTCCCTTTTTCCCCCTTCCTTTCTCAGGTCACCTCAGACTGAATAGGTAAGGCTGTGCAGAGACTCCTATAAAGACGTCCCTTAAGCATTTGTCCTGAGAGGCCGAGGGAAGGGGAGAGCGGGTCGGTCACAGGCTGCTGCTGACACAGCCCGTCTGTGGCCACGCGGTCCCGGCCACGAGGCACCGCCATCCCCGGGGGGCAGTGCTCTGCGAGTTCCCGCGGCGGCTCGCACCTGCCCCGAGAGGTCGCACTCCTGGTCAAAGTCCACATACTCGTCCTCCTTGCTGTACATGCCCAGGCCGAACTTGAGCGGCTTCCCGCTGGCATCCAGGAGGAACCTCAGTTTACACAGGCTGTCGAAGAGCTTGGACAGGTGGCGGCTCACCTGGATTTCGGGGTCGGAGTGGGAGGACGTTGGAGTTTGCAACCCAGGTGTTTGCAGGCGGATGCCCGTGGCCTGCGTCTCCCTCAGGCAGTCTTAAGCATCATTTTTATTTTGACTTATGCTCCCCCTGACCCCCTCGCCTCTGGGATGCTGATTAAACACACTTCACCAACACAGGAAACGGCAAACAGTGCTCGGTCAGAACCTTCTGAATGTCTGTTTCTTCTCTTCCCTGAGAAGGTTCTGTCCCGGGGGGCACAGGGCCTATGCCCGTAAGTCAGTTGCTCAGAATCTAAACCGTGGGCCGCCCTGGGGCTCCCATACCGTGCATCTGCAACCCCATATTAAAATAAAATATGGTCCCCTCCCTTTGCCCGGATGCTCACCCTTCTCTCTTTTAGAAGAGGAGCCTCGTGAGAACTTTTCCTCCCAGTGTCTGGGGTTTAGTAGGATGAGCAGCTTGTGTCTTAGAAATGGGCATCTCACCCATTTTCCAGAGCACGAGGATGGAGCCCAGGGTGGGAAGGTGGGCTCTGAGAGCAGTCCCGGGTCCTTCTGTCACGGCCCAGTCCCTGCGCGGTTTCTGGTGTGGACCACCTCTTGGAAACTCCTCCAACATCCCGAGGCCACCCGGACATGGAGCCTGGCACCCCTTTGGGCCATCAGGGGCCCACCTACCTCCACAGGGTCATTTCCGTTGGAGAGAATGTCCAAGAGGTCAGCTGAAGAGACAAAGTAGAACCTGGGGAAAGCCAATCTTTTCGTCTCTAAATATTCGGCCAAGGCCTTTTCGCACACAGCCAACCTGGGGGTAGGGAATGAGGCTTTGAGTCCTGCTCAACAGAAGGTCTCTTCCAGCCCATCCTTCTACGCGCTGGATGGACAACCCTGGAGACTCCCAGGCTGTTCACAGCCCTGGTTTTATTCAAATCTTCCAAGCGGACACGCTCGTTCTCAGCCAGCCCCTGCACTCGTGGATGTCCCCAGGCAGGAGGGGCTACAGTTTAATCTCTGCCATCGCGGCTTCCTCTGAGGCTGAAGGCAGGCTCTGTGGCTAGGGTGGCAGGAAGTGGCAGGTGATTCCAGGGAGGGGATGTGTTAACCCACAACCTGGGGGTTTCCTGGCCTGGCCAGCGGGATGGGGGGGAGGCGCATGACTTGGGTTTCTACCACAGTGAAGCCCCTCGTCTGGACAGGTATGGGGCCCACCTCTTCTTCAGGTCCTCAAGTTTGTCATAGAGGCCAGGTTTGTTGGTGGCTTCGACCACATTGGGTGTTTTCACCGCGTCTTCCATCAGGGCCTGGGAGGAGGAACGGGACCGCCATGGCATCACGAGCCCTGTTTGCACCAAGGGAGCCATTTCTGAAAGTGCCCAGGCAGGAGCCAGAGAGCTGTGCTCACCTTGAACTCCCGGTCGATGTCATCAAAGCTCCTGGAATCCTCCGGCAGCTGGGCACGGATGTCTTCGGAACCAATGAAGATGCTCTCCAGGTGGCTCCAGGTTCTCTGGACCTCGAACCAGATGGAGATGACCGAGTCCGCCGTGGACAGCTTCTGCTGCCAGCTGGTCACCTCCTTCAGGAAGTGGGACAGGTACTTGGACATCATCAGGTTCTGCAGCTGCACCTGGTTGTCCTCCAGCGTCTCCACCAGCACCTCGTCTGACTTGAGCATCATGGTGCCCGTCCGTGGGTGCGGCTCGTGCTCAAACTCCATGGTGGACCAGGTGCTGTCCAGGGCCTTCAGCACCTTTTGGAGGAACAGAAACCAGGTCAGCGAGAGTCTGGCACGAATCACTAAAGAGGACCCAGAGTTTCCTAAGACATGGAAGGAGGCCCTGCTCTCCGAAAGCCAAAATGTTCATGCCGACATTATTCACAATGGCCAACAGATGGAGACAACCCAAATGGCCCTCAGTGGATGAAAGGATTGACAAAATGTGGAGTATTCATATAATGAAGTGTTATTTGGCTATAAAAAAGAATGAAGTATGGACACAAGCTACAACACGAAGGAAACTTAAAAACATGCTCAGTGAAAGAAGTCAGACACAAAAGCCCATATAGTATATATTTACATGTATATGAAATGTACAGAAAAGGCAAACCTATAGAAGATAAGAAGCAGTAGGTTAGAGCTGGGATGGGTGGAGGTGTGAGATGATGGGGAGATATTAGCTAAAGGGTCTGGGTTTCATCCCTTTTTGAGGAGATGAAAATGTCCTAAAATTGACTAATTCTAATATGTGATGGCTGCACATTTCTGTAAATATGCTAAACGCCATTGAATTGCATACTTTAAATGGGTGAATGGGTATGTGATTTATAGCTCAATAAAGCTGTTAAAAAAAAGAAAGCAAGCCCAACTGTGACCATTCAAACTCAAAAAACAGATGAGGAGAGAGGTTTGAATTGCAAAGGAATCCTCCAGCATTTTCACATGTCCTGGAATGGCCCTAGGTACCAGCTGATGGCCAGCCCTCCTGACCACTGCCCACCCTGCTCCAGCCCCATTCAGCTTCTCAGAAGGCAGAGGCTGAGGCAGGATGGACCACAAACAAGGGTGCTTCATGGAAAGAGAGTTCAGTCAGGCGTTAACTGGGGCTACATTAGTTTCAACCATACATCAGCACATTCAACAGGCGTCAGGCTAGTGGGTCGGTTTCAGCAGCATCCCATATAAAGCGCACTTCACTGTCAACAAAGGATACCTTTTCCATCCCAGACTCCTTCACAGCCTTGTCGACAATGTTTCGGACCTCGTCCTCGTATTTGTGTAGGTTCAGCTGGAGTAAATCTGCCAGGGTGGTCTCATCTGACATTTCAAATTTCACCTGCAGAGGGAGAGAACGGGAACATTTCACATCCAGTTACATGTTCTCCAGTTGAAGGACACCTTTGCCCTTCATGTAGAGGCTGGCGAGGAACCTAGGCCATGAAGCGGGTGTTGGGAGCTCTGGGACTCGGGCAGACACTCCTCCAGGCCCCGCCTCCCTGTAAAGCTGGTAGCAACAGAGCCCACCAGTATTCGGTTGAAAAGTGTCCCCCCAGACTCATGTCCCTCCGAACTTCAGAATGTGACTTTACTCAGAAAGAGAGTCTTCGCAGCTGTTAAGGATCCTGAGATGAAATCATCTCGGGTCAACTGCACAGAATCTAAACCTGATGGCCGGTGTTTTCATCACAGAGAGGAGAGGGAGGTTTGAAATGCAGAGGAGGCCATGCGGCCGTGGAGGCAAGGATGCGTCGGACGTGGCCAGAAGCCCAGGGCCACCTGGGACCACAGGAAGCTGGGAGAGGCAGGGGAGTGTCCTCCCCTAGATGTTGGAGGGATCATGGCTCTGTTGATTCCTTGACTTCAGGTTTCTGGCCTCCAGGGCCACGGAAGAATACATTTCTGTGGTTTCAAGACCCCCATCATGTGGGGCTTTGTGACCGCAGCTGCAGGACCTGATCCATCTGGGGTAGCTGCCGTGTTAGTAACAGGTGTGGCTGAGTCACAGGTACTGTTACTCTGGTAATAATACCAGTTATTTGCATGATGTCACCCAGTCTTCAAATCTTTCTCACCATCACACAGACATTTCCAAGCCTGAATTCCAAGCCTGCCACAAAAACTGGTTTGACCAACTGATGGAACTGAGTGTTTCTCAATCACGGTTGGGAAAATACCTGCCCAGGTCTCAATAAGTCCTCTGTGATGCCCAATTCCTGGGATGTTTCTGCTGTTTGTTGATCACTGCCTGGGGGTCTCTCCCAGGCCCTGGATGGGAGCCTTCTGGCCAGTGGCCTCAGTACTCGAGACAATCCCTTCTGCTCGCCTGTTTCTCCCCTCCCCTCCCCAAGGCCCAGGCCACACCCCACGTGCTCCTGTATGCTAATCCCATGCTTCCCTAACCGGGGAGGTGGCTGCCTTCCCTGCACCCCTAGAACTGCCACTGAACACCCCACTCGGCCTCCCAAACTCCATGGCCCGTGCTGTCTTTCTTCCTCTATTGCCCTGAGAGCAAGGCCCGTGTCCTCAATCTCTCTGCTTCCTTGACATCTACTGGGGGCCTCTGCAGAGTAGCCGTTCCACAGAGTTTCGTTCAACGTTTGCTGACAGTGGGGATGGTCCTATTTGCCTTCGGTGAGTGTCAAGGCCAGTGCCCCTCCCACTCCCCACTGGGGAACATCCCTGGGAAAATTTCGACACTAGGACCCTGTGTTCCTGGGGTACATGGGCGACCTAGGACTGTTCCTCCACCCCAAACTTCCTGAGCGCCATGGACATTCACCGTTCATTCTACGACCAGTACTGGCTGCATAATTTGCAGGGCCCAGTGCTAAATGAAAATGACTGGATCCCATGTGAAAAAGTTATTAATTAAGGAAATCAAGATGGTGACCGCAGAGCCTCTGACCCGGCTTGGGGCCAGCCTGAGCCTGGAACCCTGTGTGACATCCTGGGGCGCGCCTGCATGAAGCCAGCTTTACCAGCGCCAGCCCCTCACTCCCGCAGCGAGCTCCCGAGGAGCGCTGCCCTCGCCCCTGCGTCAGCGTGGCACCTGGGTGGCCTGCATGAGCTGCTGCCAGTGGCGGTCCCGGATGGCGGGGTTCTGCAGCTCGCTCACAGCACGCAGGGACGTGATCATGTTCTTCACGGTGTTGTCCAGCCCCACGAAGGCATCCCAGCTCTTCATCTCCTTGTCCAGGGACCTCACGTCCTTGGCGAACTTCTTACAGTCTATGTCCATCTGCTCCACGTTGATGTTCTTCCACTTGGTGGTCTTCCAGGCATCAATGCTGGTGTTGACCTGAGGTGGAAAAATGCCCACTGACTCCTTTGCTGGGGACGGTTCAGGAAGGCACCCATGCCACCTTCCTGCCGTTGCTCTTGGATGGAAAAATCCAATGAGGACTCTCCAGCACCAAGGATAGAGT